TCTATAATCGATTGTAGATATCACACATTTTGTTTTTCCACATAGAAATCTAGCAAATTCTCTATAAAATTTAGAAGGAACTCCCATAGCTCCACTTAATAAAATGACAGTTGTCTTCATGTGTTCATCAATTACAAGATGACGTTGAATGGGAAAGAACAAGGTACCAGACACTTTGTAGCCATCTTGTGTGGTGATGTACTCATGTTCGCTTTCGAAACATGTATCACCCTCCTCCTGTTCTTGTTGCATTTTTTTTTATACTTTCAATTCTGCTTCGGATGGAGAATTGGATAGTAATTTTGTAATCCTTTAAATGCCCGATTGTAAAAAACAAAGACCAATAGTTACAAATATTAGAATATCTTAAAACAAAATTTCAGACGCAGACTGCAGGATTCGAACCTACGAAGGTTTCCCCAACAGATTTCAAGTCTGTCGCCTTAACCACTCGGCCAAGTCTGCTACGAGTATTAATGGAATTAAGGCAAGAATGCTCGACCAGGATTTGTTTGATATTTGTTGTTTTACTAGTACAGAATTGGTTTGAGTTTATGATGCATATTGATGAGGTTGAGTGCAAAATCTTTCAAATCAGCTGTTAAATAATAAAAGTTCTTCAATCCTTCTGGATCATGTGATTTGGTAACTTCGGAAAGAGTTTGAATTTTAGTGGTGGCAAATGAAATGTGTTCCTTATCTAATACAATTTCCAATTCTGATTTTCCAATATTGTCTGGTAGTGGCCACTTTCGATCACTTTCTCTATTCATCAGATTAATATCCAAATTTAACATCCAAAACTTACTCCATAATACGTGATTCCAAAATTATTGTCTTTAATTGCTCCAACACAATATTATTTAAATTTACAGTTTTCAATATTTCTCCCTCTCCTTTATAATCTGTATTATTTTTATATTCTAATAAACCATCGGGATGAAAAGTAATTTCCAAAAATTCATGACCATATTTTCCCTTATGTCCAACATACTAATCAAAATAATATTAAATTAATTTTTTCTAAATTATAATAATTTAATATAACGACTATAAACCTACATATCGGACATATAATCGTTGTTGTTGTGATGATTGATTATTAGAAGATGATGTTGCTGATGATCCGTTATGATGCTGTGATGACTTTAAGCTCATTTTTTTTGTTTTTCTTGTTTTTAATTTTAAAATTAATTGCAAAATTTAATAACAAATCATGATGAGTCAATTGTCAAGAGAATTAATCGAATTGGACAGTATTGAAAGCAAGTTTCTTCTTCTCCAGATTTCATTGATAGAATTTAATTAGTTGATTTGATGAATGTCTTACAAAATTGGACTAAAAACCTTCATCAATCAACAATCAAAAAAAATGTCATCAGCAAACGATTCCTCTCCAGTTTCTTCATCAGCTCGTCGTAAGCAACTGCTCCAAAAAACACAAGGTCTCGACAATGATAAGAATTCACTCTCGGATTCTTCAGAAAATAACCTCCGTTCACGTTCCAAAGCTCATCCAATTTTTAAAACAAGTTCCAATGCTTCATCTTCTTCATCTTCACCATTGAAAAGTACAAAATTATTTTCACAACTTTTGAGTGATCAAGAATTTGGAGATAATCATGTTTGGGTATTGAGTTCTGATTTAAAACCACAACAACAAGTTCAAAATCAATTATTTCAAATGGGAAAGTTGATGGAAAGAAATGGAAATGTTGTCAATGTTGAATTGTTGAATATTTCTGATCCTAAAAAGAAAATTGCTCAGGTACCTGTGATGGGTGTCATGTTTATGAATCCTCCTGGAATGTCCAAGTTGGAAGATTTGACACAATTGACTCATGTTAATGAACCTTGTATTTTACATCATTTAAAATCTAGATTAGAAGATAATAGGAATCCTTTGGTGTTTACTGATTGTGGTGGATTTGCATCAATCATTTCAAATTCTGTTAATAATTTACGAGATGGAAAAATTTCACAAAAATTACCCAATCAAGTTTTTAGCAAATTGAATTCAACAGGTGAAAATCAATCAATTATTCTACTTGGTGATAGTAATTCTGGAAAATCAACTACTGTAAAATTATTATTAGATTCTTTTGGAGAATTGACCAATAGCAAGATTGTCTCAAAGGCAAGTGATGCTTTGAAAATTATTGAACTCTTTTCAAGTTCATCAACTGAGCAATCCAAGTATAGTAGCAGAGTTTCTAAAAAAATTGGTTTGCAATTTACCAATTCTTCACTCACTGGTGCTCATTTCGAATGTTTCAATTTGGAAATGAGTCGTGCAGTGGTGAGGGTGATGGAAAAGATTTCTGAGAAGGAAGGTATTCCAGTCGAAGAGACTGACTACAAATCTGGATTTATTAATAATTTCCAAGTGTTTTACCAAATGTTGGCCGATGAAAAATTGAAAACCAAATTCAAACTCACTCAATTGTTGAATAAGGAACTCGAACAAAAGACAAGTTTTTCATCTGCTGTAGAAAAGCTCTTCCTCAATGTTGGTTTTACTGAAACTAATATTGGAGATGTTACCAAGATTTTGTGCGCTCTTTTACATTTAAATAATTGTGACTTTGTTGAAAATGAATCAAATACCAGTGCAATGACCAAGTTGAGTGAAAATAGTTTTGCTTCATTCTATAGAGCTACAAGATTGTTGGGTGTTGATGATAAGGAATTATTATTCACAATGATAAAACCAACGGTTGCTGTTGGTGACAGCTTTGTTGATACCTTTGTCAATGCCAAGCAAGCTTCTCACTATAGAGATTTGATGGTCATGACTCTTTATAATGGATTATTCGAATGGATTGTAAAGAACATTAATGACATGTTGAAGAATCCAGAGTGCAATAGAGAAATTTCACTCATCGATATTGGTACAGGATTTGAAAGCATTGCAACAGGTGTAGATGCTCAAAGAGGTGTAAAATACAATGGTTTGGAACAATTATTGGTCAATTATGCAAATGAAAGATTCAAAGAATTGATTCACGACAAGTTATTCAATCAAGAACAAGAAATTTACAAATCAGAGAATATTGATTGGAAACCAATTGATTTCTCTCCATTCAACTCCAAATCAATTCTGTTGAGCACCATTGAGGATACCAATGATGGAGTTTTCACTATTATCAAGAAGGAAACTAACAGCATGTACAAGGGATCCGATGAAGGAGCAATAATTCAAGAGCTCACAAAAATGTTCTCTGGAAAATCTGAACAAGTTAGCAAACTCTTCAAACCAAATCTTGTTGATATGGAATTCTCTTTAGGACATTTCAATGGCAAGGTCACTTATAAGGTTATTGATTGGTTCCAACAGGCAGTGTATCCAATCAGCTCCATTCCTCAACAATCCAAAGAATTCTTAGCCAAAAACTCAAAGAATACCATTGTTCAAACAGTTTACTCTGAATTATTGCAAGGTTCCAATTCTGTAGAGTTTGCCTCCGACATCTATGTGAAAAATGTTGAACTCCTATTGAAACACATTTCCTCCACCAAGTATACCTATCCAGTCATTTGCATTCGTAACAGCAGTGCTGGTAGCTCTCTTGCTTTCAATGACAAACTTGTCCAAAAACAAGTTAGAAATTATGGAATTTTGGAAATGATTAAATTGGCTAGAAAGGGCTATTCATCAAAGTTTACATTTGAAAAATTTGTGGAGAGATTTTCATCACTTGTTTCTTCATCAAAACTTGGAAAGGATGCCAAACAAAATACCCTTACCATTTTAGAAGAACACAAATTGCAAGAAAAGTCTGATTACAAAATTGGTAATTCATTACTTTTCCTCAAAGGATCTCAAGAAGCAATGTTGAGTGCTTTATTAAAATAAATATTCTTCAAAGTAAATTCTGCTTTACTCTTGTTGTATAGAATTCGATTACCTAAATTGGGCAAAAAAAAAGCTTGTAATTTAAAACAGAGATTTGAGCATTTGTCATTGGCTAATGAACTTGCTTTGTAATTGTGCAATTTTTGTTCCACCCTCCTCCAAAAGTCCCTCAAAAGGGCAACAACTTTACAAAACTGCATTCCTATTACTTTTCCTTAAATAGACAAAAGTCTTCGCTCCTTAATCAAAATTTTCAACAACAAAAAAAATCAACATCAGTATGATCGCAAAGATCCTTCTCCTACTGCTTGTAATCTTGTTTTTCGGCAGCAAAATCTCGCAAGCCAAGAAAGTGGAGGACGTCCTATCAGAATGTACCTTCAATCCTCACAGCACCTGTTGCTCCAGAATTATTAAGAACATTCTCTATGAGAGGAACATTAGATCCCTTCAAGAATTCTGCTTCAATTTTGATTGTTTCAAGAGTGGTCAGCTTTCGGCATCAATCTTTGATAATCACATCTCCCAACAAGTGATCAACACTAAGGATTTCTGTTCACTTAATAAGGAAGATGCCATGACTGTTCACAAGCAGATGGCCAAGAAGGACTTGTTCTTTAATCCCTTCATGATCAAGGCTAATGTGTCAGTGCTGGAGAAAGAGTATCATATCACAACCAAGTTTGGAAGTGATCAATCTTCAGCAATTGTCAGAAAGCTGCTTGAATACTTTTCAGTTTCATACTTTTCAAAGAGTTATCAACTAAAACCAAATGTTATTGACAACTTTTTGAGAAAAGATTCCAAAGACGAGATAGTTTATTGGATCAAGAGTCAATTTGGTAAAACAGAGAATCTACCACTCATTGGTGCCGAATTGTCTAACTTTTATTCATTCCTTAGTAACCCTGAATCAAGTTCCTCAAACTATTCATCTAATAGTTTGCAAATAGTACCCTTCTCAGTACTCTTGATAGCAATCGCAATGTTTTGGTACAAACTCCAATGGGAGGTCACTTCTCTTCATAGCTCCCAATGTGAAAGGATAACAGAAATTAAGAAAGAAACACAAACATTGGGGAACTATGTTTCAGACTTAGTTTCTACTGTCAATAAGAATACTACAAATCAAAGTTCAGAACTAGAAAATACAAAGAAATATCTTGAAGAAAAAATTGCCAATTCTTTCCTTGGCGCTGTTAAACTTGGTCACCAGCTTGAAAAAAAACATGACGACTTGGATAAGAACATTACCCAACTCATAAAGGAGCTTGTTGATTCAAGTGAAAAGAATTTCCATACAGAAATGAAGAGCACACTTGAAAGTGTCCAACAAATTGTTACCAATGAAGGTTCAACCATAGCTTCTAGATTAGAATCAGAAATGGAAACTTTGAAACTATATCATGAATCTGTAAACTCCAGTTTGGATACAATAGCAAAAGATGTTGGACAACAATTAGAAACAGCCAAGAAATATCTTGTACCAATAGAAACTCTGCTTGAAAAAACAAACAAAAAAGTGGAAGAGAACCATAGGTCTATAACTGAATCCACAAAAATAGTTACAGAATCAAGTCAAACTCTTTCGAAATTAACAAAGAATGTTTCAGATTTGGAAAGTCTTTCAAAAGAAACATCTAGTACCTATCTTAAATCATTAGAAAATCTTCCAACAATGCTTAACGAAACTAAGCAAATGTTTGTAGATTCACTTCAAACAATGGTTAATGAAACAAATCAAATCATTTCAGCAGAACACGAAACACTCAGCACTAAAGTTGATAATCTTGAGAAATCCATTTCTACCAATTTAGAGTCAAATCTTGTTGAAACGAAAAAGATTGAAGAAACCAATAGAAGAATAATTGAAATTTCTTCAAAAGTTGATAATCTTGAGAATTCCATTTCAAGGGTTGGTAAGAGTCAAACTGAAGCAATTACCAAGATTGCAAAGGAGTCCACCGATTTGGTAGTTTCCAAATTGGAAAGATTCAATAACAGTATTTTGACTAATAGCAAAGAAACTCAAAACTCTGTAACCTCTGCATTGAATCAATTAACTGAAGAGGTCAAGATGATAGTTACCGAAGAGGAAGTGGTCAACAAGATTAAAAAACATGTGGATGATTTACAGAATAATCTTTCACAGATTATTAAAGAGAATGTTAATCTTGGAAAATTGGAAAATTCCCTTAATAATCTTCCATCACGAGAGGAAGTGATGAAATTCAACAATGAACTTTGTTGCAAGTTTGTAGCAAAGATTGATGATACGAATCAAGTGCTTCATAAAGAAATGAAGAGCAAACTTGAAAGTGTCCAACAGATTGTTACCAAAGAAAGTTCGACCATAGTTTCCACATTAGAATCAGAAATGGAAACTTTGAAACTATATCAGGAAATTGTAAACTCCAGTTTGGATATAATAGAAAAAGATATGGGAAAGATTACTGAACAACAATTAGAAACTACCAAGAAATATCTAAAACCATTGGAAAATCTTCCAACATTTCTTAATGAATCCAAACAAGCCATTGTAGAGAACCAGAACTCTGTCGCCTCAAAATTGACAGGTTTGATTAGTGCAACTACCACTTTAGAACGCTTTAGAATAACTGAGTTCAGCAGTGCACTTTGTTCTAAAGTTGATAATCTTGAGAAATTCATTTCAAGTGTTGGAAAGGATTCCACTGATTTGGTAGTTTCCAAATTGGAAAGATTTAATAATAGTATTTTGACTAATAGCAAAGAAACTCATAACTCTGTAACCTCTGCATTGAATCAATTAACTGAAGAGGTAAAGATGATACTTACCGAAGAGGAAGTGGTCAACCAGATTAAACAACCATTAGAAACTCTTCAAACAACGCTTGAAAAAACAAACAAAACAGTTGAAGAGAACCAGAAGTCTATAACTGAATCCACAAAAATAGTTACAGAATCAAGCCATACTCTTTCGAAATTAACAAAGAATGTTTCAGATTTGGAAAATCTTTCAAAAGAAACATCCAATACATATCTTAAACCATTACACAATCTTCCAACAATGCTTAACGAAACTAAGCAAACATTTGTAGAAACTCTTAAAGATTCACTTCAAACAATGATTAGTGAAACAAATCAAATCATTTCAGAAAAACATGAAGCACTCCGCACCAAAGTTGATAATCTGGAGAATTTCATTTCGACCAAATTTGAAACAACGAATTTACTAGATAATCACCTTTCAACACATTTTGAACATCTTGGCAAGTCCATCAATGAAACAAATGAGCTTGTTAATTCAAGTGAAAAGAATCTCCATAAAGAAATGAAGAGCACACTTGACACTCTTCAACAACTTGTTGCAGATGAAATAGCTCACAAATTAGACACCAACCAATCCGAATTAGCAACATTAACTGATGAGATCAAGATGATAGCTACAAAAGAGGAAGTGGATACCAAGATTAAACAATATGTGGATGATTTACAAAATAATATTTCACAGATTATTAAAGAGAATGTTAATCTTGGAAAATTGGAAACTTCCCTTAATAATCTTCCATCAAGAGAGGAAGTGATGAAATTCAATAATGAACTTTGTTGCAAGTTTGTAGCAAAGATTAATGATAAGAATCAAGAAATTGAACCCACAACATGTGTGAAATCAATAGCAAAGAAGCAAATTGAAAACGGAACAAACGAAACTCTCAAAGAACTAGTCAGATCTGAAACTGGGGTAATGGTTGACAAAATAGCCGCTTGTGCAAATACTGAAACAATTGACAAAATTAATGCTTTGTATCAATTGACAGAGGAGAATGGAAATGTTGAACAAATGCTAAAACTTGACATTTCGTTGGTTCAGGACCATCTCTATGATGCATTATGCAAATTAGAAGCCTTTTCATCTGATATTATTAATGAAACAATTGACCCTACAGTAGAAACGAAAGAAATCGAAGAATCATATGAGAATTTTGAACTTGTTTCATGGGAAACCATTCCAAAACAGGAAGAAAAGAATGTAACTGAAACCATTATTATTACTCAATTGGATCAACCCATCTCATATGATTACATTGAACATTCCTCAAATTCACAAGAATTTTCATTCGAGGAAAACAATCATTCCATGAAATTAGGTGTAAATATCGACAGTACATCCACTGGTCCATATTATATTAATCCAAATATTCCAACAGTTATGGAAACTCTGACCTTGTATAAAGATGTTCAAGACCAGATAGAACAAGACATTCCAAAGCAAGACTCATCTCCAAGACAAGAAACAGAAGAAACTCTAACAGTACAAGCAACCCCAATGTGCGGAAATGAGGTACCATCATCACAAGCAGTTATCACCATTCAAAATAATAGCAATACAGCATCATGTACTAGTAGTAGTCCTAATAGAAATGCAACAAGTAGTGGTGGTGGTTCTCCTTGCAAAAAACAAAAATCTCCAAAGGGAAGAAAATGCAATAACTTAGATCTCTCCAATGGAATTAAGGACTTTGATGAGCTTGTTAAGAAGCTAAAAGAGGTAAAAGAGGATCTCAAAATGAAAAAGGATAAAAAAATGGTTAATAAAGTGAAACATTAAGTCTTTCAAAAATCAATTTACTTTGAAATATAAAATTAAGGTTCAGTTGAGATCAAAGATGATTCTCTAACATTTAGTATGATTGGTAATGTATCAGAAGATTGAAACCACCTTCTATAGAAAGTGAATCCCGAGAAAGGTCAGGATTTCAATCCTATAAATTCTAATGAAATTAAAGTACAGATTAACAACCATGAATATCACAACAGTAACATTTCACACTGCAGGGTTTCCAGAGCGCACCAAATTTCCCACCATTTATTTAAATAATTGAACCAATGTCATTATTTTGGAGGCTCACTTCTTGGCTTTGAGGGATCAAAGTGATAAATTGTGTTCAATAAATCGTTTCTGCCTTCCAATAACCTATCAAGAGGACCGACAAGTGTTTTGAAATGTTGAAATCGTTCGTTATATCTTTCTCTTTTCAATTCAGGCTCTATGCCATACCTTGTGTGGAAAGTTTGAACCATCTCCCACCAATCTATTGTCAATCCTCTGCACTCATTAATTCTTGTAATTTCTAGATCTCTTGGACTCTCCTTCATCTTTTTCGAAAATACTTCTGCATAATCCAAGTGACCAACCTTCAATTCAAAGGCCTTAATCTCACCCATGCATTTACTATAAGCTGTGTGTTTCTTTATAATTTGTCCTTCCAAATGAGAGGCTTCTTGGGCCATTTTTCTATTCAATTCAAACTCTGATTGTTGTCTAGTGATGAACCAACCACCAAATAAAGTACCAGCAAATGGTCCAAATCCGGTGCAAATGGCTGACCAAGTATATCTACTAAAATCTTTTACAAATTGCGAAAATGAGAGTTTGTTCGTTGGAGCTGGAGAGCAAACAAGAGTGGAATAGTATTGTGATTTTTCAAAAACCATTCCCTTAAATTTTTTTCTATTTGAATCAAAAAAAATTTATTTAAAACAATTTTATTAAACAATTTTCATCAAACCACCCTTGTAGTTTTTTGATCCACCATTAGAAACATGGATTTAAGGTCAGTTATCTGAAAAAAGAGATTAGAAAAAATACAATCAAAATTTCAGACGCAGACTGCAGGATTCGAACCTACGAAGGTTTCCCCACGAGATTTCGAGTCTCGCGCCTTAACCTCTCGGCCAAGTCTGCTTCGTGATTATGTTCAAATAGGGAGATACTGATCGATTAGTAAGTCTAAATCACTATGTTCCTACAATTGCAATGTAGAGGCTGCAATTAATTGATTTTTGGAATTCACAAGTATAAGTACAGAGTTGAAGGAACAAGAATTAATTAGCCAAATAGCCATTCAAAAGGGATAATAGATTGTATAGAGCTCAGCCCAACTCCTCAATTATCTGTCTCCGATCTCCGTATTTCAATTTCCTTTCGGCTAATTATCACTCAATCTCCAAAAAAAAATGGTCAAGTACCTTAATGCCACCTCTGTCTTGTTACTTCTTGTATCATTTGCTGCGTTCACATGTGCCATCTCGCCATTGAAGAATTATCCTGCAACATCATCTCATCAACAACAACAGCCAATGCACACATGTTGCATGCCTCGTCAACATACTTTCCATTTCGAAGGAAGTAAAACCATGTTGGAAAATTGTAATGGCATGAATTGTAATTCTGGTTTTGGAGTTTTTCGTCAAAGACACATGCCAGATTTCTATAATCGTCGTTATCGTTTAGATTCCCGTATTGAAATAAATGGTCAACTAGTTGTTGATAATACAGTTATGGGATTCATGGATCCGTATCCTTCCAGTTTTGGTGTTGAGTATACTTTCAATGGTACTTCTTGCTCTTGTAGAAAGTTAACTAAACAAGGTGAAATGTTGATGGTCACATGCGTAGAATTTGATTTTGACTTTGAAGGTGACATTGCCATTGGAATTGAAACTGAAGATCATGTTAAAGCTCAAAAATTTGTTAGACGAAAGCAGGTGAATTCGAATACTACTGAAATTGACACCCTAATTGTCCAACCAATTCAAAGAAAGGCCCCTCCACTTCCATATCCAGATCCATATCCATGTTTTTATGATTGTGCTATTATTTCCATGGAAGGAAAAACACAAGTTGTTGATTCGAATGGAGGAATGATAAGTGTTTCTTCATATAGTGGAGGAAGTTGGAATTTCAAACCTTTTAATACTGATGCTGATTATGTTATTCCATCTTATTGCCAAAAATGTTAATAAATACTTTGGTGCTAAATGAATCTTTCGAATTTGTGAGATCATTTAATTGACAATCGTTTCCTTTCTATTTATGAATTGGAACATGTCAAGGTTAAATTACATTGATAAATATTGCTTAAATACTGAATTGGAATGAAATATGTTGAGTTGCAGTCTTTAATTTTTTGTAAATTTTTAATAAATTGTTGTTAACTTTCTTACCATTTTTGGTATTTTGGAATTTGAGTTTCATTTAATGTGATTAATAACGTTCATAATTATAAAATCAAATTATTATTAGAAAAAAACAGCATCAACATGAAAACTCATCTGGTTCTTACTCTTGCCATTATTCTATTGATTAGTTTAGTTTCTTGTTCTGTTCCTGTCGATTCTTATTCGAATGTGGACCAATATAATCCAAGTCCAAGAAGAAAACACTGTCTACATAAGAAGATAATCAGAGGAAAGTGTTTGAAATTCAAAAAGTTCAAAGTTTGCGCACACCATTCAAAAATCACCAAATGTGTCAAATTCAAAAAGTTCTGCAAATGCATCAAACTTGGAAAACCAAAGAGAAAATGCATCAAGTTCGGATTCAGAAGAACTAAATGTGCTGATAGAAGAGGATGGTCAACTTGTGATCAATACGGAACTAGACGAATCTGTACTAAAAAGGCATTCCATCACTATTGTGCAAAGCGTACCTTTATTCCAAAGTGTGTCAAGCATGGAGAACGAAAGGTATGCAGAAAGTACAAGAAGGTTCCAATAAGAAAGTGTGAAACCAAAAAGATTTGTGATTCTTATTCGAAATCAGTCGATTCTTACCAACCACAAAAATGCAAACACGTGAAAAAGTGCAAAATCGTATCCTTCGCCAAGAAATGCGTCAAATTCAGAAAAATTAAATTCTGCAAGCTAAGAATTCTCCTCAAGAAGTGTCTCCAAATTAGGAAAAACTCATATTGTGCCCAATTCAAGTGTAAGAAAGTCTGTAAACACAAGAGAAGATTCTTCCAATGTGTACGATTCCACAAGGAAAAATACTGTTCCCAACAACAACATTTCCCGCCAAAATGTCTCAAACGAAAAGTTTACAAAAAGTGCATTAGGAAAATTGAGAAGAAAATTTGCAAAATTTGGAAACAAAAGAAAATTTGCAAAAAGTATCAAAAGAAGAGAATTTGTTTAAAGAGAAAACCATTCCAAATCTCAAAATAAATCAAATTCAATTCTCAATATTCAATCAATTCCAACAGATCCTTTTACAATTTTCCATTTATGGAATTTGAAAAATTAAAATTAAAAATAAATTTAAAAAAAAAATACCCAAAGGATCCTCAACAAGATGATGCTAGCTCCAACTAGAACCCTTCAAAGAATGCTATTGATCAACAAGAATCAAACAAGTTTCTTCTTGAAAACCAAGAAAATTCTTCCGAATTCATGCACAAAATTCTCTCAATTTTCAACTTCCATGATGATGAATAATAAATCATCAAGCCATTCGGGGTTGTCATTGCATGAAGCATTCGAGAAGGCACATATTGATCAATATAGAGCAGTCCGAGTAAATATTGAATCCTCTGATTCATCATCAATTGTAAATATTGAAGAGTTTGAAAAAGTTTTGCAACAAGCCTTGATTGGATGGCAAAGCAGATCTTCTAAGAAGGTTGATTTCCAAAGTAGAGTGAGAAGTGCCCATTTGAAAATTGATGCCAAGTTTAGTGAATTAATTCCAATTTGTTTGAAAAAGTTTGGATTTGAATTTCATCACTGTACACCTGAATATATTTTCTTGCATCGTTGGATTGCAACTGAGGAGAAGAATACCTATCCACCATTTTGTCAACATTATATTGGAACTGGTGGATGTGTTGTGGATTTTAAAACAGAGGAAATTTTGTTAATTACTGAAAAGATTAATATTAGAACTGATTTACCAAAACATGTCAAGCCATTCAAAATCCCAGGAGGTCAATTGGAGAAACATGAATTTATTGAGGAAGGTTGTGTGAGAGAAGTTTGGGAAGAAACCTCAGTGGAAACAAATTTTAGAGGAATTTTAGGATTCAGATACAAGAAGGATTTCAGATTTGGTGTTCCAGATATTTATTATATTTGTCTCTTGGAACCTAAATCTCAAGAACACAAAGATGCCATCGCTGCTTGTCCTAATGAGATTGATCTTTGTCAATGGACTCCATTAGAGGAATATTACAAACTTGATGGATTATCAAAAGTTCAACAACATGTCAGATCACTCATCAAGAGATATCATGAAATGAGAAAGACTAATCCATCTGAATGTGACAAGCTCTTGTTCAAATCTACTGTACAATCATCTGAACATTTCGATAATTCGGATCCTGAACTTTTGGAATTATTATACCCAAATATTAATTAAAATTATTTTATGAAAATTAATTCAAAGTTCTGCCTTGACCTGGGAATGGTCTACGACCTTGTTGTTCAGCAGCAGCTCTTGGTGGTGCATTTCCATGAACACCGTGAACAGCTCCTCCCATGGCTGCTGGAGGGAATAACCAATAGAGCAATGAAGGAGTATTGAGAATCTTTGTTTCTCTAGCTTCTGGATACTTTTCCTCCAAGAAATAATACAAATGTCCACACAAAATACCAATACCATCCTCAATGACAGTTTCAATTCCACCACCAAGAACAACATGGAATGCAGTCAAAGCAAATGGGAACCACCTGCTCGGAATTTGAGTAGGAATAAACATTAATCTCAAATTACTATCAGGATTATAATTACACCATATATAAACCATATACATCATTAATGAACTGGACAGGACATAGGATCCAGAAAAGAAAGCCAAAACAGTCATTGGCACCAAACCAAACAAGATGCAGAATATAAAATCAGCAACACGTCCATCAAATCTACTCTTTTCCAATTCCGAACTGTATTGAATAAACAACATGAATGCAAAAAGAAAATTCATTCCGAATCCACCAAAGAATACAGCATTAGTTATCAGACGCCATACTTCAAAATCTGTACTAAACACTCTATCAAATAATAATACTAAATTGAATGGATTTATCATTTTGAAAGAGACTGCACAAGTCAAGGCAAACGAAAAGGCACCCAAATGTTTAGTAACAAAAGGCCAACTTGCCCACATATCTCCAATCGATGACATTATTTTCTATAGTTGATCAATATAAAACTACTATTGTACAAAAACTCCGTATATATGGATGATGATGTTATTGTTAATGGAGTGATGATGATGAGAGAAAAATCCACTACAGCCAACAGTCCAAATCAGCAACAAGTTATTTTGTTTTTTTGTATTTTTAAAAAATTAAATTATATTTGATGATGACGAGTTAGAGAAGAATTTTTATTCATCGGAAATTGATAAACACGTGTTTTGATATGAAGTTTGCTTCAATTCTAGATTTGTATTTTTCATCATCACTTGTTCAAATTCTACTATCTTGTTTCACATAGGAGCTGCTCGGAAGTGATTTTCATCATCAATTGTATTAAAAAATTAAAAAATTATTAAGATTACATGATGATGATGAATTCACATGTTGGAAGATATTTTTATAAGAATCTAATTTATGAGAACAATATTAACAGAAAGTACTACATGATTGTTAGATCTTATTAAGGATCATTCGAATAAAGGATTTTTCAAATAGCTTCCTTCTAAATAGGCGCTGTTTTAATTAATGCTCAGTGCGACCTTATTTGAGCAATAAAAATTGGGTTTCGAATATCAACTTCCAACTCCACAATCGGTGAATGGCGAACTTTCGTATTAAAATAAAACAACATAAAAAAACGGTCAATTTTCATCACAATGAATCTTTCGCCTCAACACCCATCGGGAGAACTTCATACAATCAACAGCTCTTTGGAAATATTACCAACAGTTTCGTCTTCTAACATTGAAGAAGAATCAGAAACAAAATTCGAAACGGTTTCGGATAAAAATTACATGACACCAATAACACAACAAGAAGAAGCATCAATTGATGCCTCTTATGATTATGAGGATGAGAATATTAAATCTCCTCCTCACACAAAACAAATGCACAAACAAAATAGTGAAAATAATCTAATCATCTCCTCATCACCATCCTCTTCCAGCATTCTCGACATGATCATTGACCAAGATTCGAATATAAACCAAGAAGAATTAGAAATCAACCGAAGGAACACTATCAATATCGTCCCAACCCATTTCGTTCACAAACGTGGTTCACAAGAATTACCAGAACTCGTTTCTCCCTACAGAAAAATAGCAACAACTAATAATCTGAAAGCAGCACTTAAGAATAGTTCTTCTGCTTCTTCTTCACAACAGAAATTGAATAAGAGTGGGAATAGTGCATCCTATTCGAAAATTGAATCAAAAAGTGGTGATGCTTATAAATCACTTCAAATATTGACGAATAATCAGAAGAATAGTCAAGTTTCGTCGTTGAATAATGGAGGAAATAATGAATCATTTTCCAAATACAAGTATGCATTGGAAAATGATGATTTTTCACAGATTGATTTTGGATTGGAAGTTAATTCTGCACAAACAAGTGCCTCGGAAATTACATTTCCAGTGCCAAACAAACCAAATGCTTTCTATGGAAATGCACAAAATTCCAATGCAAATGGAAATTACTTTTTCAATGGACATCATAATACTGCCTCTGTTGATGAGACGATAATGAGAAAGAATTCAGTGATAGATGATTCAGTTTCAGATAGTGGAGAATTGGAAATTAGCAAACATTACGAATTGTATTTGATTTGTATTGGTGATTTGGATAATTGTCTAGTTCACAAAATGTTAAAAACTGCTGGAGGTCAAATGTACATATCAAATAGACAAGTTAGCTTTATTTTGAGGAATAACAATGAAAAGGTCACGTGCACTTTCAATTTCTATTCACAATTCAATTGGTATTTGATGGATTTTTTGAAAGATGAAGCAAAGGATTGTCACGGATTATTATTCATGTTTAATATTACTCATTCAGAGGGATGGAATGAACTCAAACAGACCATTAGCAAAAAGTATGTGGACGTACATGATTTTGTCAAACCATCAATAGTTTTGGGAACTTATTCTCATTCGAATAGAATGCCTAGTGTTGTAAATACCTCTCAAGTAATTAGTGTTGTAGATAAGTGGAAAGAGAAACAGATAATCAGTTATTTGGAAATTGATGTAGAAGATAAGGATGAGTGTAAGATGGCTCTCACTCACTTGGCAACAACCATCATTCAGAATATGAAAGATAAGGAAAAGGAGAGCAAACCTAGGAGAGGAAATCCACTCTTTTCCAAAATATGTGGCTCTGTTTCTGGTGATTAATAAAACACACAATTTAAAGATGTTATTACCAAAGAGAGTAATCTTTTATTCTCAATTGTGGTGAAGATTCGTTCAGATTAGCTTGCTTTAAAAAAATGTCAACACAAGTAAAGGAAAATACCCTCTCCAATTATTTGCTTTCCCTCTTTAATAGTGCTAACAATAATAATCATGACCAAGAAGATGTTCCACCACCATTAAAAAAGCAAGCCAACCAGTTGAATTTGATGACAAATGTCATTATCCGAACCTCTTTCAAGGATTATCAGGTACATGATTTAATTGTGAAGAGAAGTGGTCTTTTTAAAATCATGTTAGAATCACATGAAACTTGGAATTTGGAGAAACAAGATGGAAAGCCAATTATTAATTTAATAACAATGGAAAAATCCATTTTCAATGATGGAAGTGAGATTACACAAGAGGATTTTGAACTCGTTATGAGATACTTGTATTCTGATGAGATTGTAGTAGAGGAATTGGATGGTGATAGAGTCAAGAAAATTGTTTTTATGGCCAGATTCTTTGATTTGGATTGTTTGAATGAATATCTATTGAGAATATATGGAAATGAAGAAAATTTGCAATATTCAGGAATATATTTTCAAATTAAACACTTGTTGGAAAGAGAGTTTACACAAGAAGACTTTGTTGCAATGGTATTTAATGATTATCAGGATTGGGAAACGTATACCAATGAGTTGGTTGATTTGATTTGTCAACAAGAGATTGTTCCTCTTGAGAAAAAGCTAAAATTACTGAGAGAGCAAATTAAATATCATAATCAAGTAACAACCATTACCAGTGACCACTTGAAACCTTTTGAAAAGTCATTTCCAATACTACATTTGCAAGCTAGGAGTATCTTCAAAAATCAAATAGATCATTCTCATAATTGTGAAGAAATTGCCAAATTATTAGGTATTGATTTGTCTCCAATTAATGGAACGATTGAGAATAATGCAGAATTACTGAGCTCTCAATCTATTACCAATTACTTGCTTGTGGCTGATGAGGATAATTATGGAATAATTAAATTATTTGATGGAAACTTGGTGATAAATATTAGATGCCAAGAGTTCGATTCAGCTTATTCGTGGTATTTAAGAGCTGAAGACAGGGCCAACTCAAACTCTGTTACTATTTACTATCAATATGGCAATCAACCAATTACCAAAATTAGAAGATGTGAATTTAAAATTCACTGTGAACAATACAAGAATTGTGGACTAGTCAACATACTCGTTATGATTAAAAAATAGTGTTATCAATAGAATTTAAATGTCTGATTTACTAAAAATAGTTAGTAAATAAACCACGAATGATATTCAAGAGGAGTTCAACAATTTGATTTTTATTCCATTTAGTATTCCTATTAATTCATAATTAAGGTTTAATTCAGGATTAGTAATTGCATTTTACCAGAATTGGAAATTAACATTTTCCCATTCTTTTCATTAACGACTAGGCAATAATTATCATTAAATTCTTCAAGCTTGTGTTTTGAGAGCTGTACTAAATCTTTTGAAAACACACAAACACTACCATCAGCATCACTGATATAAATCTTTTCTGATTTCTCTTCATAATAGATTGCAAAACATCGATTAAGTTCATTTTCAGTTGAGTGAACTTTTTTGTGTACTTTCCATTCTCCATTCTCATCTTTTTTAAATAGTCCAACAAACTTATTTCCACAAGCAATCAAATCACCATTTGGTAAAAACTTTAGGTCAACTAAATTATTAAATCCAGGCAAAATTCTCAACACACTGTCTCCAGTTTTTGAATCATAGACACGAATAGCATCATTATTATAATCTATTACAAATATCTGATTTTCCATCGAGCCAATTCCCCAAAGAAATTCACAATCAATTGTTTTTTCCCAAATTAGAGCTGTTGAAAGTGAATCATTTGTAAGCTTTTCCTCCAATATTTTCTTTAAATCGTACTTGAGAAGAATGTCATTTGAAGCTCCAAGTATAACACTCAATTGAGAAGGTATTGCTCTTTCCAAAGTTACAGTTTTCAACCCTTTGCCAACATTAAGAGAAAGAACCACAATATACGAATCCAAATCCAAAAATTTCACTTCTCCATTACCAAATATAATCATTAATAAATTGTACTCTCTTACAATTACAAAATTATAAAAAGTATTTTCAAAATCAATGATCTTTTCTATAATAAATCGACCAGAATATTCCATCTTGGTTGGTTCTCTAAATTTTTGTTTTAAATAATTTTGTAATGGTGATGAATTATTGTTTGATTCCGATGATGATGATGAAGGTGTCTTGAAAAAATCGATCAAGCAAAACACAACATTTTCCCCTCCACCATGTTGCTCCATTTTTTAAACTTTGATTAAATCAATTTCCAAATGTTTGGATGAATTTGAAAAAGTGCAATTCTACTTTTTACATTTTTCAATGCCACTAACAAATATTCTCAAAGAAAAGAAAGTTGAAAAATTTGGATTCTTTAAAACAATTCTTAATCAAAGTTTAAAACAAAGGTACAAGTAGGCGAGGAGAATATACAGGATTGGGAAAAAGGAACAACCATAGCACAGCCATTCAAATAGGAACAAAAGTATCTCCCCCTGGTGGGCTCGAACCACCGACCTGCAGATTAACAGTCTGACGCTCTACCGACTGAGCTAAGGGGGATGTACAGTAAAAATCAATTAAGATAAGGTAAGGCACGATTAGATCACCTTATTTTTTCAATAATTAAAAAGTTTAATTAAAAATATATTTTAAAAATCTTAGAATTTAATAAATTAAGGTTGGTTTCTTTTTTACATTGCTATTTACAAAATCAATTCAGATTCAAGTTATTTTGAGGTTGGATTGATTGGATTCCTTTTTTGCACACTAAAACAATAAATTCCCAAGTGTGCAGTTAATGTGGAAATGACATCATAGGCCAGATGAGTATACATAATAGTGGTCACAATGACCAAAATATTCAAATATAATCCTTCATCTAGAATGGCATTTCCTCCTTTCATAATTCCAAATAGGGTGTTCAACAATCCAACAATTAGGAAATACAGAACTGGCATAAGAGTTGGAATGGTCATATCACAAACTCTGGCCAATATGGTCCTTGTTACTATGTATGCATGAAACATGCCGTAGGAATAGAGAACCGACAAGAGATTTCTTTCCAACGTTTGCTTACTACCAGATATGAGAATCCAAACGGTAAATACCAAAGCAAACACTAGGTAGGAACAGAGAGATTTAAAAACAGGAGTTTTGTTCATTCTCTTTTCTTGTCCATTTGAATTTTCCAAATCATGTGTATTGTTAATTGACTGGATTGTATCTCTTAAACATTGGAATACTCCAGTAATGGTAGACACATTGACTCCAAAAATGATAATATACTTCAATTTGACAAACTCGCTCTTCGACAAACTATACAACATACTGGATTCGTCCACATTACCTAGAATCAAGTGAATCAAGTTATCATTGAATACAATAGGTCCGAATGCAAATACAACCAAGTTGACAATCATGACTACAAATTGACCCTCGGTTGGTCCAGAAAAGTTTTGAAAATTCAATACTGCAGTATGGTACTGTTGCCAAATTGAAATGTAAAACATGGCAGTTACAGTTAACAATGTTACAAAACAAATCCAAGCATCATCCACATTCAATAATTGCATTGCAGCCAAAGCCAACACTGTTTGCATTAGAGAATTAATTGAATCACAACCATGATCGAATAATTCTCCAAGAGGTGAAGAAGTTTGTGTTCTTCTGGCATGTTTTCCATCACAAGCATCCATTGTTTGATACCAAAACAATGCAATTGCATTCATCAGATAAATCCAACGATGCTCTGCACTATCATTCGTATAAATTGTTGCAAGAAATGTAAAAACAACAGCCAAAAATCCAATCAGAGTAATTGTATTCGGTGCCATCCAATCAGGAAACAATGTAGCAACATAATTCCAATACGGATTCAAAATCTTTGAAATAAATGAATAATCCAATTGTGATGAGGGTTTATAATGGCTCAAATTCGAAACCCCCTCATCACTTATATAAACCGACGATCCTCCTACTAAGGATGTAGAAGAAGATGAACCTTCCTCTTTCATTGTATTACCCATAGTACTTCTCGATGATCCTCCTCCGATAACTGAACACAAAACCTCACTTATTAGATTAGCAGTTTTATCAATATTACCCTTATTGTTGTTACTAGCAGCAGTGGTGGTGGTGCTTGTTGTATGTAGTATTGTCGTTGTCATCTACTTTCTCAAACTCTCTCTGAGGGTGCTGAGGAAAAGTGTATTGGTGATGGAATTTTGAGGGAGAAGTGAAGGAATTTTTTTAAGTTGTTATTTTTAGAAAGTTTGGTTTGGTTTCTAAATTTCATAGGTCAAGACCTAAGGTTCTAAATTGACAATTGAACTTGGAAATGTTATTCGAAACTAAGGAAAACAAAGTGCTAATAGTTTGGAAGATATTAACAGTTGCACACCATCTGTTTAATACCTTCTGTATGACTCACAATTGTAAAAGCTGCTTTCTATTTAAGTTCAATATTGAAATTCACAACATTGGAAATCAATTTATTCAAATAATTATATAATATTTACCTTAATATTCATCAATACATGCCATTTAACGTTTATTAATAGTTAGAATATATTTACAAGGTGGTGCATACTATACATATGATACATTACTTGTCTTTTTTGCTTTCCTCAGTAGTGGAATTTTCATCTTGTGGAGTGTTTGGAGTTGTTTCTTCTGCTGACTTTTCAGAATGTTCATTATTTTCAGTAGTAGTTCCATTCACAATAATAGTAGTAGAGGATGAAGCATCAAGATTGTTTGTAGTTGTGGTGGCTACAATTTCAGTTGGTGGTTGTTTCTCTTGCCTAGAGAAATATCCCTTTCCTGCTAAGAGTAGACCACTTCCAATCATACCAATACCACTCCCCAAACTAGCTGTTGTCATTATACTAGCTCCTAATTTTCCTCCAACGTACATTCCTACAGGTCCACCAATTAGAGATCCAGCCAATAATCCCAAGCTTACAACAGCAGCTCCATAATAAGCACCATTACTGGTTTGAGATGCAGAAGTAGAAGATGAAGCAGTGCTTTGATTATTGCTCGAGTGGTTATTATTGTTATTTGTTGATGATTGTGGGTGATTATTTACATCTATACTTGTAGAAGAAGAGTGATTATTCTTTCTCTTATCCTTCTTTGTGGAACTTTCTTCAAGAGTTTCAAAAACTGAAACCAATTCTTTCAAATCATTTTTCAATTCATCTAATTTATCGTGAGACATTTCCATATCATCATGAATTCCATGTTGTTTTAACAATTCTTCCTCTAAATGGGTAGTTTCATCTTGTTTGAAAATGTAACCTGATAATTTCTTATAGACTGGAGTTAGAGAGTAGTAACTTGTAGATGAGGTTGTTTCGGGTAGGTTCGATGCTGGATATTGCTTTTCCAAATCTTTAAATCTTTGAAAGAGAATATTCAATTCTTGCATTTTCTTCTTGTAACGAACAACGTGATTATTATGATGTTCGGTAATGTATGAATTATGAACATATAATAATTCGTGTAGATCCTTTGAGAGCGAGAGTGCAAAATCCTTCTCATGTTTAATATCCTTCCGAATTGAGAGCGAATCAGCACTATTCTTTCCAACGTACTCCAATAATTTTGCAATATTACTCAGACAATTCTCGTAAACTTCCAACAAGGAGAGAAATTGTTCTAAAATTTGTGTATTGTCCAATTCATCTAATTCATCCAAATCAGAGAGAGTTTCAATCTCTTCCTCCTTCAGAATAGGATCATCACGATTATTAATCATTTTTTATTAATAGTTTTTTTGGGAACAATAAGACCGTTATTATTACAAATTAATTGAAGAAAATGATGAATAATTGTTAATTTATTTAAATTGTTGTTCCATATTTGTGAGCTGCTAAAGCAATGGCAACTACTATAGCAAGGAATTCGGATGGTTTCTCTGTTGCAATAAATTCAGCAGTTCTTGTTCGTGATACAATAACCAAACCAAATGGCTTCTTATCGTATGGAACTGCAATCTTCATAACTCTTGCTTGATCCATTGTCATTTCCAATGCTTTCAATTGGGTGATATCGGCCAATTTGATTCTTCTTGAAGCACGAGCAAGTCCAGTCTTTTTCTTTTCATTTTCGCTCCATACCAATTCCTTATTCTTTGGATCAATAAAAAGGTATCTCTTGTGTACCTTTCCTTTTGGAGTGTTTTTAAGAACTTCCTTTCCTGTTATCAATCTATTCAGAATTTCTTCTTCGATAGATAAAAATTGATTGAAAACTTGATTAGTTTTGAGACATCTCAAAAAGTTACCATTCAAATCAGCTCTAAATGCCTGTCTCTTTCCAATGCCATTTTCTGTTGGAACTTCAAAAGATGCTTGGAATAAATCATCAAGATTTCTGAATTTGAACATTCTTGGTTGTGGGGAATTCAATTCAGAAGAAAATGGATTGCTGACAGGTTTAGGATCGTATGGATAAGAAGGATATGGATTTTGAAGAGCTTTTTGGTAGTGAGGATAGCTTTCACCTTGGTCAGTGTCTGTCTCATTAAAGAAGGCATCGAAATTATTTGGTTGTTCTGTTGTTCTATTCGACAATATTGCCATCGACTCTTTGGAAAGGAACGAAGAAACATTGTAGAGTTTCCATCTTTCTCCAGTTATTCTCCACAATGATACATTATGTGGAAGTGCTTCAATTGGCCTGGAAATTTCATCTTCTTCCTTGAATCTAAGCATCTTAGGGGATCCACGCATTGGAGATGATTTCAAATGATCCAGATGCAATGTTGGTGTGAGATCTCTTCTATCTTCCACTGCTCTTGCTGGTGGTTCAACAATTTTTGGTTGAATATTTTCTCTAGGTTCTGGTTGATTGTAAGTAGCTTCAGACATTGGAATTTTTGGATCTGATATCTTTGATGGATCAGAAGTTGAGGTTGGAACTGGTGATGATTCTCTGCTATTCTCAACACTTCGTTTCAAGAATTCATTCATAATGTCTCCTGATGCAGATGAAGCATCTTCTGATGAGTTAGAATCTTCTCCAATTAATATTTGTTCCAATTTATCTTCTCTATTCTTTCTTCTTTCGAAAATTGCTTGTAACTTGTCATTTGTTTCTTGTTCTCTCTTTGGGGTATCCATTACTGGTTGCGTTGGTTCAGGTTGTGTCACAACTCTTTCCTTTCTTCTATTCATAATTCTGTCCAAATGTGCTTGCACTGGATCTTGACTTACTTCCACCTTATTCCCCTCTTCACCTCCTTGTACTGTAAATACATTCGATGATGAAGTTACGGCAATAGTAGGAGTTGTCTCCTTAGTGTTGTCAAAGACATTTCTTGGAGAGACTCTTGGTGACGATCTATTCTCAAAATCCATAGAAAATGGAGTTTTTCTTTGTTCACCAGCTGGTGATTCACTTCTATCCTTTTCTTTTCTTGAGAGCAAAACCTCTTGCAAAGCCATAATTCTTGCCTTTGATGATGTTACCGCCGAAACAATGTTGGAAGGCGATCTTGTTTCTTCAACAGAAACAGTAGAATTAAATCCATCTTCTCCAATTGTTGTTGGTGTCCTAGGGGATGAAGAAGGTGAATCCAATTGATATCTTTCCCTAAATGATGGCTTTGAGGCTTTAGGAGCTGAAGATGATGAAACGCTTGAGGTTGAATTTTGTTTCACGAACGGAGGCATCGAAGACATGATGATTAATTACCTAGATTATTATACAATGATTGTTGTATTAGATTAATGTTACTATTATATATGTACAACGGTCTTCAAAAGTGTGAAGTCGACTCGGCTTAATACCACTAGGGCGTTTCTTAACGATAATTTTTTTAAAATAATTAAAAATTAAAAGATGCAATAAGGTGAATTGTTATTCCTAACGTTCATTTCTAATTTTAAAATTCTCACACAGAAGATGACCTTTCATAATAACAAAGAAATATTAATAAGTAATAAACTGTTTCAGAATAATCATCTAGTATTGTTTTCAAACAAAGTGAATGAAGAAATTACAGGGAGGCTTCTTTTCGCGCCAAAATGAACAGTTAGCAAAAGAAGAGTTTCAAAAAAAAAAATATCATCATAACTACCAATCAACATGACCGACGCTTATCATATGGGAAGAAAGGAGTTACTGCAGTGGATCAATGAATCGTTCGGTTTTGGATATGAACGTATAGAACAAACATGTACAGGAGCTTGTGCTTGCCAAATAGTAGATAGTCTCTTTCCGGGAGTTGTACCAATGTCCAAAGTAAACTTTGAAGCCAAGTTTGATTATGAATATATTAAAAATTATAAAATTCTACAGAGTGTATTCACCAAGCTGAACATTCCGAAGGTGATAGAAGTTAACAAATTAATTAGAGGAAAATATCAAGATAATTTAGAATTTCTACAGTGGCTTAAAAAGTTCTATGACGACAAATTGAATGAAGGCACAGACGCTGGATATGATGCCGTTTCGAAAAGAAAGGCTGCCATCAAGGAATATAGACAAACAACAAAAACAACAACAACCATTGCAGGATCATCACAAACAAATACTAGTACACTCTCTGTATCATCATCAATATCACAAAGAAAACCAACCAACAACCTTAATACCTCTATAAATAGTACAACATCAACCAATAAGATGAATAACGTTAGAAATGTAAACACAACAAGGGGAGGAGCTAGAACTCAAATAGAGAAGAAGATAGCAGCCCCTCCAAAATCCTCTTTATCAATGATGCAACTAAGAATTGAAAACCTAGAGAGAGAAAGAGACTTTTACTTCCAAAAACTCAGAGACATTGAATTATATACACAAGCCATTGAAGATAATCAATCTGCTTCACAGGAACAACTCACCTTTATGAGAGATATGCAAAAGATACTGTATGCAACTGATGAGGATTTTGCTGCTGTAGATCAAAATTCAGACGATGAAATAATGAGTGACAATAATAAGGAGAATCTCATTTCTAACGATGATATTTAAGACTTGGATTTTAGTAATGTAAGAATTAATAAAACCTTTCTTAATTATTGAAATTTCTTGGATTGTTGTTTAACAATTATTGGAAACAGTCATCATAGTTTATTATTTTACCTTCGTCTTCTTGAAACTGTTGGTGAGCTACAAGCTTCTTCAATATTCTTTTCAATGATATCTTGTTGTCTTCGGTCAGAGATGAGTTTGAATGCACCTCCAATACTTGGAATTTCCACACCATTTTGTGTGTTTGGAGATTTTACAGGAGTACCAGTAATTTCGAATGGAGTTGGACTGACTTCTAACTTTCCAGCCTTTCCAAATCGTGGAGAAATTTTGAGTATTTCAGAGTTAGAGGGTGTCGAAGGAGTTGTTGTACTTGGTGGTGAGTTTGGAGGATCTTTTAAAATCTCCACTGGTGGTACAGGGCTATTACTACTTTTCACAGTCGAGCTACGTTGTTTGGTTGGACTCGCGACTGTTGTAATCTCATCTAGAGATTGATTGAGGGATGGCTTTTCGAATAGACTTGTTGATCTTCTGTGTAGTCTTGGTTTAATTTCTTCTTCCTCTTCTCCTTCTTTAATGACAGGAGTGGGAGTTTCAACAATTGGGCTTTCTACTGGTTCCATATGCATGTCTTGTAAGACTGAATCAAAATCTTTTGGATAATTTCCACTCACTCTATTTCTATCGTCCACTCCAATGTGATGGCTGTGTTGGAACTTGTTTGGATCTGGTGGCTTAATTACCACAGTTTGTCTAAAGCTTTTCTCCTTTTCTGTTCCATAACCAACCCATCCCTTGATTTGATTTATAATAGTATTACGAGAGGATGACCTCTTTCTAATAATATTTGGATCTTCGAGCTCTAAACTATTTGCATTGGAGTTTTTCTTGACAGCAGTTGAACTATCGGTGGAACCAGAGGAATTTTCAGATTCCTCAGAATGATGTGAAAATTCCTCATCTCCTGAGATGGTTACTCTAAAGTTAGGTTGATTATTGGTGGTGGTAGTTATTGTTGTATTGGATGATGGAGGATTTTGATTAGATGGACTTGTTACACCAGCTTTGGTATTAGATCTTCTCTTGGTAGTTATTTGCTTTTCTGGAGAGGAAGCCAAATTGACCTTTGGTTTAGTTGGTTTTAGGTCAATATTTTCAGGTAATTTTTCTTCCAAGAATGTATATGCATTGAAGAGTGATATCCTGAGTCTACTCGAATCACAGGACTCTGCTCTCAGTTGACTAATACTCTGTAGAAGATCTTTGATCTGTACACATTTTTCAAACTCGTAATTTTTCTGGAAATAAGCCAAACTTTCAGTAAGCTTCTGTACAATATGTTCACACACTTTCTTCATTTCAATAAAGTGTTTCATGCATGGTTGTTTGAGAATTTCATCCGCTGATGGTCTATCAGAGGGATTCTTGTTCAACATTTGAACAATCAACTCGATCATGGTAACCTCTTGAGGATATCTGTTGAGCATGTCATTGACGAGAGCTCCTTGTTGGCGGAGTGTAACCACTCTTTCAACTTGCTTACTCTTTAAGGTCATTAACTCGTAACAGACAACACCAAAACTCCATATATCAGTTTCTGCTCCGTATTCAGAATTATTTACAATTTCAGGAGAAAGGTAATTCATTGTTCCAACAATCGAATAGAGTCCATGTGATTGTTGTATAGTTTTAGCCAATCCAAAATCTCCCAATACTATTTTACAAGTGTGATCTGTTTGTTTTTCCATAAAAATATTTTCAGGCTATTAATCAAATTTAGTAAGAGGAACAAAAGAGGAAACTTACTTTCTATTGATGAAATGGTTATGAAATTGATTAATTTTAAAACATACCAAATCTCGGTGAATTATTTTTTGAGTGTGAATAAAATTTAAAGAGCTAGCCATTTGATAAATGAAATCATAAATCAACTGTTTGTTTCAATTTTCATTCAAAGGTAAATCCACATTACATTAAAAATTATAAAAAATACATACATGAATAGAGATTTTCTTTTCCTTCTTTTCAAAATCCTCAATTAATCTTCTCAAATCTCCATTTTCATAATATTTCATTGTAAATAAAGATCCAGGTTGAAGTGAGGTTAACATTTCAAAATAATCATGGACTTTCATGATACTATCATGATTCAATGACCTCATTAGTTCATACTCTGCTTTTACATTAGGTGCAAAAGTAGCAGTTGGAGTGACAATCTTTACAGCCAACTTTTCTCCATTCTCACTACATAAATAGACACATCCCGAACAGCCCCTTCCTAAAATGCTGTCAATGGTCAATGTACGTAATGTGAATCTTGATATTAATTGCTCACTAACAGTTTTACTGCCACTAAATGCTCTCGAATCAACAATTAGTATCTTATTGTCATAAATATCAAGGAATGCTTTCATATCACTTATTTGAGGAGGTGGTAAACTGGCCAAATTAGCAATTACCACTGAATCTCTCTTATATTTAGCAACAGAAGGAAGTGGTTTGTATCTTTCCAATCGAGGTGATTCTGGTTGTGTAGTATTACTACTATTCGAAACTGTTGGTGATGCAGTACTAGCTATTGTAGCAATAGGTGCATTCCTCACCACTGTTATTGGTGGAGGAGGTGGAGGACTCATCATGGTGGTCGTCACTACTTTCTGATAATTATTATTGATCTTTCCATTCTTTAAAGCCAATTTAGACATTGATGATGGAAGAGAAGGTGGAGGAGGAGGAAGTGCAGATGAAGATTCTGTTGTGGGAGTTGATGTGCTCGATTGTTTGGGTGGTGTTTTATATTCTTCAACTTCATCTTGGAAAAGGTATGAGGAATTTTCATATTCATTCGAATAGCTATTAGTATTACTATTATGCATTGATGATGGTGATGTTAACGGTGATGATAAATGAATATTTTGTTGATTTTCCTTTTCTCTTTCCTCCAATTCTATTCGATTTCTAATAATATTTGTAATTGGAGGAGGTTGTTTCCCTACATTAACAACATTAGCAATAGTACTATTTGGAGTAGTGGTGGTTGTTGTTGTCGTTGTTAATGGTGTCAAACTTCCCTTTGTACTTCCTCTTGGTGTTACTGGAGGTTTCGGCAATAGTCTTGGAGTTGATGTTATTGTATTAGTAGCAGCACTTCCCCATGTTGTTGTTGTTGATATATGGTTGTTTTCAATTGGAACATCACTTGATGCCATGATTTGAAAATTATTTACTATTTTCCGGTCTAATGATGAAGAATTATTTATGAAAACAATAATCAAATATATAGAGAAATAAATATAAATTATATAGTTAATGGATAATGATGATGATGAATTGTGAATTAGCGAATTAAAATCCAAAAGATTTCCCGCCCAACGGAATTTAATGTATTTTGGTGCTGCTGTTGTTGCTGTTGTGCGGTTTTCAGAGTGTGTTTGAAAAGAAAATTTTGCGTTTCTCTTGTTGTATGCTGAAGATTGTTATTCTTATTGTTATTGTTGTTGTATGATGAAGATTCACAAATCAGAATTGACCATATTTTTTTTTGAAAATAGTGATGATTTGTTTTAACGTTTAATTTTGGTGGTTGAAAGAGTTTTGTGGAAAAGGAAGTTCAACAAAGGAAAATGTAAAAAATTGGATTGATGGGTTGAAGGTTGGCAGGTGTGAAATAATGTTGTGGAATTGTTTTTGAAAATTGTCACAGAGGAATGCAAATAATGGACTACATGGAATTATTGCCGGCACTGCACAAATTAGGTCAATTTCAATCTTTTGTATTTTGGCGCCAGTTGTTTCCGTTACTTTCGCAAAGATTCGGCTAGAAACAAAATCATTGAAATAATCACATTTTATTGGAATTGAGAGGCCAAAGTAGCAGAATCCTTCTTATAAGTTGCATAATAAGGACCATCAACAGCACCAATCTTTAAATTTCCACCACTCAAAGTTACAGCATTTCCAAAAATGTTCACAACTGAAACAACACCTGGCAGATAAACATTAGTATAGGTATTCAAATCACCTGCCCATATCACAACAATATAATCACTTTGTCCCATAAATCTCATGGCCACAAGTGATGGAGAATCCACAACCTTAACATAACCATCAAACATTCTACTTCTGGCAATGTTGAATAATTGTTTGACTGCTTTCATTGCTGGTTTCTCAGTTAAATCAGCATATAACAAACCAAAGTTGTATTCTCTTTCGGTGGCGTCAGTTCCATCATTGACCATATCGTAATAGACAGATAGTGGGAAGCCCATGGCTAAACCAGCTAACATTCTGTTGGCTACGAGTGAGGCATGTAATCTTAAGGCAGTTGCATCCAAACCATTTCCATTGTAATCGGTGGAGCTTAATCCCCATTCTGTGTCCAAGACTGGTGGATAGGTTGTAACTACACTTCCATAATTGGAATGGACACCAAATGTTGAAAGGGATGTAAATTCATTAATAACTGAACGGAATTTTCTCATTTGATCACACAATGGTCCATAGCCATATGCCTTTCCAGGTCCATACGGATGCAAACCAATGAAATTATATCCTTTTGATCCTCCTTGTTGCATGTACTCTCTCAAATAGGCATAATTGAATCCACCCAATCCAGTTGTGGAAATAAGAGCAGATGGATCACCTTCATAGATTGCAGAAATGGTTGCTTTGGCCAAATTAGCATATTGAGTACCAGTTGGAATTCCTTGAATATCAGCCTCATTGTAAACTTCGTACATGACACCCTTTCTAGCATATCTCTTGGCAGCAGCTCTGGAATAGTTGGCATAGGCAGAAATGGCAGTTGCAGTCAATGGAGCAGTTCCTGGACTGTACAAATCATTGGAATAGGTCAGAATCCACAAAACTTTCAAACCACGAGCTTGGAGAAGAGTAAGGAAATTATCGTAAACTGTAAAGTCGTAAACACCCTTAACTTGTTCAACCCAACCCCAGAAAAATCACATCTGATCCATTGGAAACCAGCATTCTTAACAGCATCAAGAATGGCAGTATTAGTTGTGTAATGGAGAGCAACTCCCATTCTTGACAACATGTCAATACCATTAGTTCCATTGGCATTCTTGAATGGAGTCCAAACAAACTTGGATGTATCCAAATTAACACCATTAAAATTCAATGCATAAATATCATCGACCAGAACACATCCATTAGCAATGGAAGCAGGTGAATTCTCATAGACACTTGTCAAGATTTGGATAGATGATAATGGATAATGCATGACACCATCATCAGCTCCACCCCAGCTTCCAGAAGCAAGACTAGTATTCAACATGACAATTTGTTCGTACCAATTCAAACTATGATAATTTTCAAAAGGTCTATTCAATGATTGGAATTGGAAAACTTGTCCAGTGGAGTCAAAGACACGGAAAGTTAACCAATTGTTAGTATTACAAGATTTAGTTTTGAATGCAATTGCATTATAAGTAGCTGTCAAAGTTGAAGGAATTGGAATATTGGCAGCGACATAATTACCACCTGACAAGTTGAATGTCATATTGAGTGCTTTACCACTATATCCTGCAGTGGTAATAACGATAGATCCAGTTGCACCTGGGAACTCAGCACCATTGTAGAATGATATTTGACTTGTGGTTCCTTCAAAATTTTCAATAAGTGTTCTGGTGTTTGTGTAAGAACCAGCTCTGCACAAGGCAACCAATGAGAGCAATAAGAGAGTGGTAACAAGGAATGATCTAGTTGTTTCTCTCGACATTTTTTTTATTTGTAAACAGTGTTAAAGTAATAAGAATGAGTTGATTTTAAAGGATGACTAGCACTTGTTGTAATGTTGATTTGTGACATGTATTGAGCGTGAAAAGACAGAATGTTACTTCGAATCACCGAGTTTGTTTCAAATTGGTAGTCATTCTTACGCACAATCGATTGCCTTATAATGATAAATTGCTAATTTGCCATTTGTAATTGTTAAATAGGAATGTAGTTGGTACAATTTTACATTCCTATTTAACAATTACAACGTTTACAAAGACTCTTGATGAGTTCACAACTACTGTAGTGAGTTGTATAAAATAAACTGTAGAGATTTAATGTTGGCTGATCTTAATTGCTTTCAGTTTAAGGTTTACTTTGATATTGGAAAGTGAAAAATTCAATTTATTAAATAGAAGAAAATAATGCAAAAAGACCTAATAAAACAATCAACCATCCAGTTATCATTCTATTCGAATCATTCAATCTTGTAGATGTTTTTGGTGTTGTGGTGGTTGAAGAGCTGGAGGCACTTACTGACATTGTGGCACAATTGACTCCACTCCATCCAGCCAAACAAAGACAATTATTAGGAGATTGACAAATTCCCTTTCCATTATTACAAACTTTCGTATCATTTGCCAAATAACCGAAACAAATTGGTGCTGAACAATTCACTCCTCCATATCCAGCTGGACAAACAAAAGTTTCGTTTCCACTATTAGTTGAATTATTCACAATAGTTCCATTAATTGTACCATTGGAATTATTCGAAACAGTCTCATTACAATTAACACCCAACCATCCATTCATACATGAACATTTATCAGGTGAAACACAAGTTCCATTCGATGAGCAAACCTTTGAACTGGAATACAAAACTCCAAAACAATCAAATTTTTCACACGAATTTCCATAATACTTGTTGATGCATGTGCAAGTATTTGGTGATGAGCAAGAGCCACGATTTGAACCACCACATGCACTTGCACCACTCAATCCACCACAGATGGCATCTTTACAATAACTAGAAGCAGTCCAGGAATTTCCATTGCATGAACAAGTGTCAGGTGCCAAACATTGGCCATTTCCATTACAAACACCACTGACATCTGCTGCAATTCCATTACAAACTGGAATGGAACAATTGGCACCAGAAAATCCTTTTGAACATGATGCAGTTCTCTGAGCACTCACATCAACATATAAATAAGAGGATGCACTAGGAGCTGAAGAAAACTGAATAGTCAACCCAGCAGTGGAAACTTTTGAAATGTAATAGATGGTATCCCAAGTTGGTGTTATTGAGAAGAATGTTGGAATCTTGTCGAATTGACTCTCATAGGTAATGTCAATGGAAGAAGCTCCAGCACTAACTTGTGCTATTGTATTGTATTTGAGAGTGAGTCCAATGGTTGTTCCCATGACATTTGTCATTGAATCGAATGTCATCTTTTCTTGTTCGATATTGTAAAAGATAGAAGAACCCATTAAGGTCTTTGAATTTGGAAGTGATGGATTAGACGAAACTCCATAAACTAAATTAACGAATCTACATGAATAAAATCCCATTCTTCCATTTCTGTCATTGGATGCTCGCATCACTGAGCTACCGTGCAAATTTCCCATAAATAAAGCAGAATAGAAATCAGCAGACGAAAGGTCATTCGAATTGGACGAAGGTTGAATCATGACACGTTGATTTTCAAATCCACCTCCATTCATAATGAGATTAATGCTTGATTGTTTGGACATTCCACCATATCTGATTCCATAGGTATATTTCGAATAGTCATTATCACCTGGATAGTACGAAAGATGAGAATTTGGAAGAGACCACAAAATATTCGAATCCTTGTTGAGAGAACTTTGATTGTCGAAGAGTAGATTCGTGGATTGACTATCGAGAGCAGTGGCCAATGTCAATAAACAAGTGTCGCATGAGTAGACATGAGTACTGACAACTGAGCTGGCAGTATCGAATACAAGATTATGTCCAGTTGCACCATTCAACACAAGCAACTTGTAATGACCATTTGATTTAACCAAATTACCATTCATGATACGTAAATTAGAAATCACCTTATTTGGATTATTATTCTTAATGTAAACACTGTTAAAATCTGATGAGTCGACCGATTTCAAGTCAACCATTGGACTTCCAGTAGAGTCTCCATCATTGATGAAACTCAAGAAGGCCAATCTAACTCTCAAACTCTTGTTAGAATCTGAATTTTGGAATGTGATTCTTCCACTTGCTCCTTTCAAGTTTAGTACAGAGCTGTGAAATGCTTCACCTGTGAATGTGATTTCGTATTCATTGGTGAGAGAGGATGTGGCTAGTGAGAGAGTAATAGATGATTTGATACTGTAGACACCTTTTGGAAAGAATACATTTACCGAACCTCCATTAGTAGTATTGGAAACAATGGACGAAATGATAGAGCTGCAATCAAGGGAACTGGTTCCTTGCTCAATGAGAGATTTCTCAGAGTTTGGAAGATAATCTTGAATGTTGACTGTTGTTGCTATAGTTGCGGTTATCACCATCAACAAGGCAAACAAACATGCAACGAGTTGTACGAAACCTTTCGACATGTTTTTTTTAACAATACAGAATGCACTTGTTAATAAAGAAGTGAATTTCGGTGGTATCACAAATCATTGAATGTTTTCTATGGGTGCTACTCTCCTGTTACGTCAACTGACATTTTAACAAACTCTAAATTACTAAAATGAGACAAGCTAACATGAAAGGCAGCATGTTGTAAATTGATGTGACTCTGTTACTCTACCTGGAAACTAGTAACTTTCAAATAATATATTTTTCTAAATAGCAGTTTAGTAATTCAAATTAAGATAACTTTCCTTTCATTTATTGAAAGCAATAGGTTATAGTGGGTCAATAAAGAAAGGTGGAAAACAACTTCTCTGTCTCACAAGTTCCAACTAAAAAAAAATTATCAAAAGAACAATGAAATGAGCTAACAGAGAGTGAAATCTGGAGTTTCAAATATTTTTTAGTTAATTTTATTCTTGTTGAAATCAAAATAAAAGAGAACAATTAGCAAAAGGCATTCGCCCACCGTGGGGGTCGAACCCACGACCACAAGGTTAAGAGCCTTGCGCTCTACCGACTGAGCTGGACGGGCTACAGGTGATGAAAAAATATTACTTAAATAAACAAAAATCCTGATGTGTCCAAGATTTTTCTTCTGCACAAAACTTTATTGTTTATAATAAAGTAAAGCTAACACTTTCAAACTAAATGATGAACTGAATTCATGTAACAACCAGCAAATCGGAACATTGTTGGAAAAAATATTTTGTTCTATTTTTATCCGTATTTTTTATTCTGTAAACACACCATTTGACAATTTTGCTTGGCGTGCAACAAATATTTTAGTTTCAAAAAAATAACGCAACAAAAAACAACAATGACCATCCAATCAATAAAACAACACACAACTCCTCTGAACAAGCCTCCAAGGAAAACCATTAAAAGTAGCAATAGCAGCATGAATTCATTTCGATCTAAAGGTTCCAAGAATTGTCCAGCGTGCTTCAAGAAGAAAATCAAATGTAATCACCTTCAAGAATTGTGTGCAAAGACTGGTAACTTTAAAACTCCAATGAATGGATACTTTAATCGTATTCTCTTTGATAGTTTTAAATTTGATCCAAAGGATAGAGCAAAACTAGATGCAATAATTATCAATCAGGTGAATAACTTTACCAGGAATATATCGCCTCAAGCTTGTGCGAATGCAGATGTATACAAGGATGAATTGCAAAAGACCTTTTATGATCCCATTATAAAACAATTTGAAAAGATTGCTATTGAAAGGGTAGAAGTAAAAGATGATATTTCAATCAGTAGTGAAGAAGACTCCAGTAATGGTCGTGGTAACAACGATGATGATATTTCTCCACAACTGTCAATTGTTGACAGTGTGCTTTATTCAAAGAGTGCACAGATTTCACAACCAAGTATGGTTCAGACACTAACTCAATCCAAAGGGAAGCTGGTAAGAATTAAAATTGGAGAATTCACAGAAATTAAAACTTGTTACCTATCATTGGAGAACTTTTCAAATGTGAATACATTGAAACAAGCAATTGAAACAGCTTGCAACTTTCGCCCAATTGATATCAAGTATGAATCTTTTTACGATCGAAAATTACCTGTTTGTGATGGATATTTGCTTGATTGCCTGAAAACCAAATTTACTAATTCACCTCCATCTCAATTAGTTCTTCACTGTACAATATAATAAACTACTAACCTAACTGCTTGTCTCAATAAAACTATATTTTCAAATCTTCCTCTCCCAACAGCTAATTAGAATCTTGTCAAACAAAATCTTCAATTATCCCTTCTTTGATCAGTCAACAATTGATTGTAAAGTATCGCAACTTGCTTGTTATCGTTGATCTTCAGTTATTGATTTCAATCCAACACAGTTCGCACTCCTCCTTTCTAATAATACAAAAAAATGTTCAAACAACTCGGACCTTTAAGAAGCTGTTGTTCGAAAATTCTTGGCGGAGCCACCAAACATTCTCATGTTGCTCATCATCATACAACAAAATCGAACCGAGTGATGACAATATTACAGGAGGATATTTTCACCTTTGCTACAAGTGCTAGACTTGCTAGTAGTGACAATGTGATGGCCAATAAAACAATTAGAGAATTGGCATCACAATTCCGAAAATGTAAAAATATGAAGGAGATGAGGTTGTGTTTGACCCAACTTGAAAAATTTGCAAGCTCAAGTGGAAACACTACACCAAATGTGGCACTTTATTCAATTGCTTTGGAGATGGCCATTAAAGAACAAAAGCTTGAAGATGTTAGAAAGATTTGGGCTACCCTCAAGAATAATTTATCAATGGTTGGTAAGTTTACCATTAATTAATTCAAATTTGAATTTTAATATATTATTGAACAGATGTTCAAACTCTTTCTTCTATTATATTATTCTTTGGAAGATATTACAAACAATATCCAGAACAAGTTAAAAATATCTTTACCAATAACCAATGTGAAGGGAAGAGAAAATCAAATGAAAAGAAAAAATTGGTTACATCTCCACTTTACGATGAAAATTCACCAATAGAGTACACTCAACTGTTCTTTTTAAAGAGACAAGATCCTGAAACTCTTGTAAAAATTGCACCTTTAACAATAGCTTCTGCCATGATGCATGAACAATGGAAGCTTGCAAGTGTAATGATTTACGAAACCGTGGAAGCAATATTGGAATATGATGAAGTTTTGAAATGTTCCAAAAAGAATGAATTTTTGGGAGAATTTGAGGATAGTTCTAGCTTTGGAGATAATTATGGATCTTCCAACAAACTTGATCCTGAGTCTATAGAATTAATGACCGATTTTATCAACTCTTCTCTCAGACTCATAACAAGAAAAGTAAGACAAGGAATGATTAAAATCTCTGCCTACACAGCTATGAGCTCTCCAAAGAATAATCAATTACCTGTTCACGTAACATCCAGTGAGGAAATTTACAAAGATACTGCCACTAGTATTATGGAAGGTTTGGCATTAGGATTGGATGCTCTCAATCTTGCAATCTTTGAGACAAAGACTCAAAATTCTGCACATCATCCAATGAATTTAGATGAGGAATTGTGCACCAAGTTGTACTGTATGATTCATTCCTTTAGAGTATTCATTGATTGCTCACCATATAAGAAATTACAAGAAAAGTTCAGAAAACGTGTTATTTTCAAGACGGACAATGTTGATGACTACCTTACCCTTAAATATGGTTCCTACTTGGAAAAGTTACACATCAAAGAGGATCCATACGTTCAATTTAGAATGGAATATAAGGTCAATTTGGATAAGAATGGAGAAATCAAATCAGACATTTCCAATGCCTACGTTAATCCAAATCCAATTCCAAGTGGATCTACTCTCATTCTTAACAAGTTACATTCCGTGGATTCTACAACAGCCACTGTCATTGTGGAAGGAAGATCTTACAAGACACCTGGAGAGTTAAACGCTCAACACACTGTAGAAGAGCAACAAGTTCCATTAGAACAAGAAGAAGAATCTAAATTGACCATTCTTGATGATTTTATCGATGAACCAGATGAAGATGGAATCAATGATAAGGATTTTTGGTAGGCAAAATCCAATCTGTGGGAAATAAGCCTTTATACGAAAAACAAGATTTAAAAAATATGGCGCACAAGTTTCTGTTTAGTAATTCTATCAAGCAAGAAGAAGGTGTATTTTCGAGAAGGGAAGATGAAAAGAAATCATTTCCAATTGAGTTTAATAAAATACAACAGGAGGTAAGATTAAAGTTTCGCTTTTTAATTCATCATCATAATTGTAAAGGTATTGAGCAATGAATTAGCCTTTGCAAGAATAGTTGAGAATGATCTTAGATTGAGAGAGGAACTTGAAACAACAACCATCACATTGGAAAAACAATTCGATTTATTAGGATCTTTATGTGAGAATTTAATTGGAGAGAAATTGAGCCTCAATGAAGAACATCGAATTTTAAAGAATCAACTCAACCTTGCCTTGACACCAAAAAGCATCATCCACAAATCATCACAAACAATTGATGACTATTATCAAAAGAAGATAACATCTAATGAGCCTCAATTCAATGATATTGTCACCCCTTCTTCCAGTACTCCATCGAAGGGTAATAATAACTTGGAGAGTTCAACCTTGATTAAATCAAACGACACCTTGCTAGAGCTGATGATTTTAGATATTGATATTCGTTCAAAGAATTTAAAGAATAAATGAATCCGATTATGTTTTACTATTTAATAATATTTTAATATTCTTATTATTTAATTCTCCACAAGGAAGGCTCTATTAAAAGCTTTACAAAGCAGACACAAACAACAAAAAAATTTCAAAAAATGTCCGGTCTTCGTGCAGGTAGGTTTTTCTCTTCGCGCGTTTGCTCATCATAATTTTTCTTCTGCTCCATCATCAATGCTCTATATTAATGTTTTAATAATCATAACTTCATCATCATAATTCCTAATGTTGGAATTTAATAATTGGAAATTTATTAAATTCCTTGCGGTTTTTGTGGACTGTCTTGATGAATCATAACAATATATAACATTAACAGGTGTTGGTAAGAGAACTCTCCAAGCTTCTTTCTTTGGTGCTTTGGTCAGATGTGGTGTCATTGGTGGCGGTCTCATGGTTTCATATGCTTTCATTTGTCCACCAGTTAGAGCCAAGCTCTTCAGCTCTTTCTCCGCTAAGAACTAAATTATCTATTTTGTGTGGAATATCACTTTGCTAATTCTATCAAATCTAGTATATTCATGATGATAAACATCTCATGGGAAATTAAAAACAAAAATATTATTAATATATGTACTAATCGGATTTTTATTATTCAAGTTGCTCAAATCGTTTCGCCCATTTGTTATCACTGTGCTTCAAGTAGATGATTTTATTGTCTATTATGAGGAATAGTTTGAGGACAGGACTTGAAACTCACACTAATTAGATTTGTTCTGTGTTATTTCATCAACACAAAAATATTAAAACTAATCAGTGGTGAATGAACTCATCAGATTCCAATAAAGTCATGGTTAGAATATAAAAATGAACAATTTAAACAAACCAACTTAATATTAGGAATTGTTTGTTAATTGTTGCTTCCTTTTTGGAAGAAAGCATCAATTGCCTTGTAAATATTATTAATAAACAATTAAGGTGTTCCATCAATTAATAACTTTTTCAACAATTTACTGTTTCACGCTCCAACCTTGGCAACCAAATTGTTACACCAACTTTGTTATCTCTCTGGATGATGCTGAATGTTCCCAGCAAACAACAACTATCAACAACCTCATACAAAGGAACAATTTTTGAATAGATAACCATATCCTAATACCAAAGAGAATAGCCATCATTATATTACAGCCTGGCTAAAGCTATTAGCAATCCTTCACTTCATCAGTCAATCAAAAAAAAATGTCTTCATCCACCACTCCCGTAAATAAATCTCCCTCCACCTCTAGTAGTAATAATGCAACAGGTACAACACAATACTCAGCAGAAGGTGTTGCTCATCGTTTTTTAACAGCCATTCTCGATTTTATGGGAAAGAATGCTCAGAATCCCTCCGAAATTTATCAACTCTTAGCACAGACAGGATCCGTCCTATTGTTACAAACCGAGGAGTTTCCCAAATATTTGTCACAATATATTGAAATCAAATTTCAGGATGCTGATAAGGAATTTGCCAATAATGCACCAATGAACTTTCAAGCCAAATATCAAATCACTGTTCAACTATTCAATTTTGCCACTTTCTTACAAAATGTAAGATTGCCAGCTATTATTCCTTATTTGTCTCCGATTTTGACTCCAGAAGAGCAAAGAAAAATTGACTATAAACTTTCGGATGCACCTCAAGTGAAACAGTATGATTTTAATCACTTTCAGGAAATTTCCATTGCTGCTCTAGAAGCTTTAGTCCAATCCAATCGATCTCCAATTCAAACCTCAGATTACAAAGAGTCCACCAATTGTAACAAGACTAAGATTCCTCCACAGATTGCCTCTGATTCAAGATTTATCTTGATGGCTCCAAAGATTGAAATTCAATTGGCAAGTTTATACTTGCAAAGATCCTACTCCCCATTCCAAGTTATGAAAGATATGAAATCTCTGACTCAGGAATTTCCACCTCTCTACTCTCACAATCATGAAAAATTTTACAGATCCAATAATGAAGATATTGCCATGTACTATTTAAAGAGTGCATTGAACGTTGTCACTGTACAAAATTCACCAGATGACTTTGCTGTTTGTTATTCACAACTTGCCCACTTGTTGAAACAAAAGAAAAAGTATGACGAGGCCATTAAGGCATTCCAAAAAGTATTGGAGGTTAGAAAGCCAAATGATACAGATCCAACCAAGTATGCTTCTCTATGTATGAATATTGCCAATACATACTTGGCAAAGATTGAGGAAAACAAGTCTCAAAACTCTGAGGAAAGGAAGAGCTCTGCACAAGTTGCAAAGTTTATTCTCAATGAATATGTTATTGGTTTGAGAGATACTCTCAAACTTGAAAAGAGAAAAGAATCTCCATCAGATATTAGCAATCACATCAAAACCATTGATACAGCCATTGAGTGGTTTGATAAGAGTGAAGCTGGATTCAGCAAACTGAAAACTGCTCCAACACAACAGGACCCAAATAGGAAGGAACTCTCTACCAAAGATCACTACTTGGGACTTGTTAATATCAATCTAGGATATGCCCACCTCTTGAAAACTAAATTGTATATGCAACTTTTGGAGGAGAAGGTTGATGCTACTGTTCTGAAAACAGCACACCAAGCTGCCACCAAGGCAGCCACAATTTTGAAGGCAGCTCTCGAAGTCATTAAACCAGATTTGAAGGAAAAGGATTCAATCATGCAAAAGACCAAACAAATGGGTTCAGAAAGCTTCCCAAAGGTCAATATTTATTTGGCTGAAATTTACCTCTATCTTTCTGCCTTTGACACAATGGAAGGAATTACAGATACGGTCAATGGTTTGGATTATTTGGAAGAGGCAAGAAGTTGCTTGGACTTGGGAGCTACTCTATTCATGAATAAGGAAATGAAAGAATGGAAGGTGAGACTCAACATTCTCACTTTTGAAGTTTACCACAGAATGAGTGAGAATATCATTGAAGGATTACCATTCATTCAAGATGAGCCAACAAAGCAACAACTCACCGAAAAGAAGGACCAATTCACTGAGAGAAGTATTAATTGTCTGAAGGATGCCATCAAGGATTACGAAAGTACCATCTCAGTTGATGAGAATTCAGATAGTGAACTTTCCTCTCTTATTGAACAATTAAAATTATAATTTATCTTTCCAACATTTGTTTCTCTATATCTACAACTTTTGTAATGGTACCTTGTCAACTATTGATCATTATTAATAGTCCACTTTAATATTATTTAAAATTAAAAAAAATGATCAATTCCAAACTGCAACAATCTGCCATTCAACTCTTATTTCAACATTCTGCTCGGAAGGCTAGTTTAATTGTTTCAGGAGTCGGAAGCCAATCTATTTCATGGCTATTAAAGGAACCAGGAGCATCAAGTGTTTTATTAGATGCCTACATTCCGTATGCCATGACTTGTACAAATGAAGTGATGACTAATAGACCCATTCTAGAAAAGAATGTCGACTCGGTAAAGTATGTTAGTGAGGAGACAGCTTTGGGGATGAGTAGAAAGGCTTTTGAGAGAAGTGCCAAAATTTCCTTCTTTTCCAATATTCAAGAGTTGTTGGATGATGAAAATAATTCAAATAGTATTGTTAGTAGCAATAGTAACATTTTGGGTCAATATGCACAATCATTATCGAAGGCTATTGGTATTGGATGTACAGGAGCTATCAGATCAAAGACTCCAAAGAAGGGAAAGCATCAAGCCTTCATTGCTGTAAATATTATGAATAGTGAGGGCAAAGTTGTGAATAAGACCTATCACTTGATTTTGGAAAAGGATAGGAGAGAAAGAGAGGAAGAAGAATGTTTGATTAGCTCTCTAATTCTCAAACTTTTAATAGAAAATTCTCTTCCACACAACATTAAAACAATTGCAGAAAATCAACAATTAATCTCTGAATTTGAGAATAGTTTTAATAGTTTATTATTTGATTCTGAGAAAATCAGTGAAAGAGAGTGGACCGAGGATTGTTGGGATTTCAATATGGAAAAGCCATTAGTTGGATTGTACACATTTGATGGAGTGAATACTTTCAAGTTGGGTCATTCTGAATCGAACTCAATTCTCAAGGATGAAAACATGAATTACATAATTTTCCCTGGAAGTTTCAACCCACTTCACATTGGACATGTCAAGTTGATGGAAAGAGCTAGAGAAATTGCTCTCTCCCATATGAACAGCTATCAACAAGCAGTAGGTCTACAATCACTCTTTGAAATTTCCGTTCAAAACGTTGACAAGAAGGGAATTGATGAAATGACAGTAACACAACGATTGGAGGATATGAAAGCAGTAACCTCTAATTTCTCCTGCATTGTTACAAAGGCTCCACTTTTCAATCAGAAAGTAACACTCTTTAATAGGGAGACCAAGCTTTTCATTGTGATCGGAGCTGATACAGCCATTAGAATTGTCGACAAGAAGTATTACAACAATAGTGAGAGTGAAATGATCAATGCATTACTGAGCTTCAAGAAGGAGAATTGCCAATTCCTCGTGGGAGGAAGATTGGATCAGAAGGAGAAACAACACTTTTTAACCATGGAAAAAATTCAAGTTCCAAGTGGCTTCCAAGACTTGTTTGTTGAGATTCCCGATTTTAGAGTTGATATTTCATCATCAGAGCTGAGAGCAAACACACCACCTTCCAATACACATTGATATTTATTTGACCAATTCAACGTTCGCAGACCTTTACAATTTTTTAACAACGACAAGTGGCCGTTTTATTAAGGTAGTTCAACTCTAATAAGGACAATTCCAATTAAAATCTCCAAATAAGGGCCCTGAGTGTAAGTGTGTACTTTTACACGTGCAAGGAAAACTTGGCGCATGGAATGGAGAGGGCATCTTCATCAAAAAAAAGAAAACCAAAACCTCCCTCAACAAATTGTTGAATCTACGCCCATTCACTACTAACGTTGAAATGTTTCTCAAGAGAGTAGTAGCTAGTGGTAGTATTAATAATAATCACCCACAGCATCAACCAACAACACTATATGCAAGGGAACAACGAGCTGAAATGTCATGTTTGCTCTCTAGTAATTATTCACCAAACGCTAGTCATTGTTACTTGTCCAACTATAAGATGAGTCAGCACCATTCATCCATTCACAACAGTCAGAGAACAGTGTCCAGTTCACTTCAAGTGAAGAAACTATCCTCCTCAAGAAGGTCCTCCCTTAAGAGATTCATCACAAATAATAGTACATCAAAGGTAGTGAGAAAGGAAGACATTGTGATTATCAATGTTGATGAGGATTGTGCCATTCTCCAAATGATAGACTTTCATTTACATGGTAAGATGGGAAGAGTTGTTTCAATTGTTGGTGACGAAGTAGAATTGGAAATGATGAGAGATTCAGACGAAGACACAGACGATGATTGGATTTTTATTGGAAATAGTAGAGTTGTGGTACCAATCTTTTGTCTCTGCCTTGAAGATAGAGTTTTACAGAGTCGATTACTTTCATAACTGTTGTTAAGAGAATATTGTTATTATTAATATTTCAAAGAAGCAAACCAGTTCGCAACAGTAGTAATGAATAACGAATGGGTGAACCATTCGAGAATGAAAAGCATGCTGCCTCCAATAATAGTACTACAGATAATGTTTCGCGCCAAATATCTGTGATTTTGGAAAGCTTTTTTAACAGTACAAAAAAATTATATGAACAACAACAAACCAAGCAACATGAAAATGCAAGGCCCTCAAACTCCACAAATAAAATCAGTTGTGACAACAACGACGAATAATTATCATCACCATCATTCATCATTGACGACGACTGATTCACCATCACGAGTGAAGGACTCTATTGAACCCTTAAAACAAATCCTCTTGATCTCACCCCAAAGGAAAAAGCACATGGAAGATGTGATACGGAAAATGTCTAAGGAAGATAGGGAATCAATGCTTCAGGCAATCTATCAGAAGAATGGAAAACTTTCAACTGAATACAATGTAAATATCTTTGACCAAGTCATTTCACATCAACAATCAGATTAATTTATTTCTTGGTTGCTGCAGGTGCTGATTTATCACCAGGATTCTTGAATAAATTTTGCATCTTGGCACTCTCCTCAAAGTACATCTTGAGCCAATGCTTTTTTCTAAAGTTATCCTTATGTTCGAGTTCAATAGCTTTCTCAGTTTGTTCCAGAGATTGTGTTGTCTTAAATGTATTGGTTTTCTCGGTTGGCAGATAAAATCCACAAAATCTCGAGCTGTATCCACTGAATAAGTTTGGATCACTTTCATCATAATCTCCTTCATCATCGACCTCTGATGGATCAATCTCTACGTGCAATCTTCTTGGTTTGCTACTACTTTCATTATATCTGGAGGTGACAAAATCCTTTCGTGATGACAGGAATTCATTCTCATTTTGTTGGTCCTTAAATTGTTTCCCGTATTGTTGTTCCCACTGGACTCTTGTATAGTGTTCCTTCTTTAAAGTTTCCTTGAGAGAATGCACAGCAGCATTCGGAGTAACACCTTTAGGTCTATTCATTTTGATGATAAAAGTTGTGTGATATGATTGTTATTTTCAACAAGACAAGATAATGAAATAATAAACAAGAATTAACTGATTATTAATCGGATCCGAACGTTTTGAATGTAGTTATGTACAAAGAGTGGTTGGGGTGGTTGTTCAAACCTTAACTTGTTTTTTTCTGATTTGAAATGTGGTTAAAACCTTTCAAACTGTAAAGAATGGCGCCAAAAATTTATTGCAAATAAACAACGGAATTTCATCATATCATCACAGCTGCCATGAATATTTGAAAGTATATTTATGAAATTAATAAACAATCTAAACAACAAACAATAAATCGGTCATCTAATATTGTTCTATGAATAGGAGAAGATCAACAAGTTAATTGACAAAAAAAATGTTTCTAAAGAGAAAGCAAACAGCACCACAATACGATGACGATGAGGTGGAAAATCAATATGATGATGCGGAACAAGAACCAATAGATGAAGAGGATGAATTAAATGATGATGAACTAAATGCACTCTATGAAGAGGAACAACAGGCTGACAATTCCGAACAACAAGAACAAGATGAAGATGAAGAAATGGAAGATGATGAAGAGGAGGATAAAGAATCATCTTCGGAGGATGAAAAAACACTTTCATTTGCTGAAAGATTGGCACTCAGTAATATGAAACCAAAATCAAATTTCAAAACAAATGATAAGCATCTTCAACAACAAAATAGACATCGTAATGGTAAACATCATACTCCAACAAAGAAAAAAGTTGAAAAGGGTGAAAAGACTGTTATTGAAAGGAAAAATAAGAATGCTCCAAAGGAAGTGAGTTCAAAACTCAAACCAAAATCCATTCCAGACATTGCAAAGAGATTGGGTTATGTGAAAAAAAAGTCACGTGATCCTAGATTTGACCCAACAGCAAGTGATACAGATCCATCATCGTTTAAACAATTTTCTGGCCATTATAAACATGTTTTCGATCAATTAAAGGATGAAATAGACGAAAATAGAGAAAGATTAAGAGATAAATCACTGACCTATGAGGACAGAAATGAAATTCAAAGAGAAATTTCAAGACTTCAAACCAGAAATAAGAAATTCGAAACTCAAAAGGCCGTTGCAGAGGTCAAAGACTCATTCTACAAGAGAGAAAAGAAATTAATCTCAGAAAAGGGTAAACAAGCTTACTTCTTAAAAGATTCTGATGTGAAAAAGATTCTCAAAGAAAGAAAAGTTGAAGGTATCAAAAAATCAGGCAAGATGAACAAATTCATCAAAAAGACCAAGAGAAAGGATAAGAGTAGAGTTGCCTCACTCATGCCAACCAAGAGAAGAGAATAAACTTTTGCCGCCAAATTTCAAAAACATTTAAACGTTCAAAAAAAATGAGAATTATCAGGAGTGGTGAAACGGCTACTCTAACCAACAAGAATCACACAAAATATTTAGATGATTCTTCTTCATCGGATCAATATGAGGAATATAAGATTAATAGGAGTAAGAAGAAGAAAATGAATGAATTATCTGATGACTCTGATGAATTAATGTCTTCTCCTGTTATAACCAAGTCAAAGACAACCAATAATAAGAAATCAAAATCATCAACAACAACAAGTGATAAAACTAACAACAAGAGAAAGACAACATCAACTAATGGAGTATCCAAAGCCAAACAGGCAAAATTAACTTCGGCGAAGGAATGGAAAAATGCATCATCACGGAAACAATCAAAAAAGTTGCAACTTGAAGAGGATGATGAAAAGGAGAGCAACATGATAGCCAAAATTGACCAAGTGACGGAGAAGGCTAATGATAAAAAGCAAAGAGTTACTTTGACTGCTTTCATTTCAGATTCCACACCATTTTGTGCAATTGACTATGATGAAAGTAAGGACATCACTCAAGTGAAAGATAAGGATCTTGTTACAATTTGCATGGAAAATAATGAAGCTGGAAGAACAGATGCTTTTGTGGATATAAAGAATGGATCTGTCAAACTTTTGCATCACTCTGGTTCAAGACTTGTTGTTGCCACTCATGACGAAGAGGAGGATCAGGAAACAAAGAAACTTGAAATTGATATGAAACTAAAGAGAAGTTCAACAATTACAGAGAAGGACAAAAAGTTTATGGGAAAAGCTTCCGAGTGGAAAACTATTCGATACAGAGATGAGAAGGCAGATGAGCTACTCACAGAACCTATCAGGATTAAAAGTAGAGTGTATGGTCACAGAGATGACGTCTTTACAGTTTATGAAACTAGATTAACATGCTCAAGGAAAGGTTCACACACACCAACTCAACCTGGTATCAGTGGGCATTTTGGTGTTCCATCTGATTCTATTGTTGCTATGGCTATGGGTGGATATGGAGACGAAGATTATGGAGATGTTTTTATTTATACTGGTCAAGGTGGTACTGATACTGAGAATCAAACTCTTAATCGATATAATATCAGTTTGGTGGAGAGTATGAAAAGAAGAATGCCAGTCAGACTTGTGAGAGGTTATCAATTAGATTCTGCCTATGCACCTGCTAAAGGTTATAGATATGATGGGTTATATTGGGTTACCGATTATTGGAGAGAACCACAAAGGTTAAAAACAGGTGATTTTGGAGCTTTAGTATACAGATACAGAATGATTAGATTGGAGGGTCAACCACCAATTTCCAAAGTGAAAAAAGCAAACTTTAAACCTAAAGGAGTTCATAGACCATCTAGAAACGAATATGTGCACAGTCAAATTGTTTCCAAGCTATATGTGAAGGGAACACTTATTGAAACCGATCGAGATGGTAGAAGATTGTACTTTTCAGGTGTAAGCTCAAGTGCATGGGGTAATTCATTCACTTTGAATGTGACAGCACCTTGCTCTGTTGACATTTCATCATATGTAGAGTTGTCTTCTAGAATTCCATACTTCCCTTCGATATTGGATAAAACCTTATTACAGAAATACAAATTAAGCACACAAAACTGGAGAAAGGAAATCAAATTCAGCGCTATTGGGCTGATACCTCAACCAGCAGAAAGTAACGATTCTACACTAGGACTAGATTGTATATACAATAATTTTGGCGTTCCAATTCCCCAAAGAATTTACCAAACTAATTTGGAACTTTCGTTTTCCAATTTCCATGAATCTGCAAAAGTTGCAAACCACAGCAGTCAGCCAACTCTTACTTTTATAAGCAAGAAACATAAGCATCCAGAATATGTTCCTGTCGCATATTCAACTAGTGAAAATGGAATAGTATCCACAAGTTGCTTCTATTCATTACTAGGAAACCTAAGTCACTACATTAAAATGAATGGTGGAGGTATGAGGAAAGATTTGGAAAATTATGAACAACACTTGATTGATGAACGAGTGCATTTTAAGAACCAGCTCTTAAAATCAGACAAATCTACTTTGCAGGAACGAAAAGTTAGTAACTTTAAGCGAGTCAGAAACATACTAGACAAATTGTAATTTATAAATTATTGTTTTAAACCACCTAGGTCGATAACATCTCTCAAAAGTGTGAGCACTGTTCGCAAAGGTTCAGGATGCTTCATAAAGAACCAACTTTTCGTCGACAATCCCTCACAAGTTCTGTGGAAAAATTCAAAACGTTCCTTCATGTGATTTCTTACTTCACGAACAGATTGACTTTCCTCTCCATAGGCAATAAATTCATAAATCAAAACGTGTGAAACAATAACATTGATAGATTCCTGTAAAGTACCCACCACTACACGTGTCACCAAAAGTCTAGCCTTAATCATAGCCTCTTGTTCTTTGCTCATTCTTTCAGTAGTTGCGCTGAATGAAGGTGAGAGTGTCTCGGTTGGAGTTGAAGAGCCAAGCTCATTTCCTGTCTTGTTGTTGCTTAGTTCAGTATTATATTTGCTCGAAGGTATAATCTTTAGGGTATCAACACAAGCTTCAGCACATTTGAAGATTGTTTCAATATTAGGGCTATTGGATTGCATTGAAAGAACAATAACAGGCTCTACAGGTTGTTCAATTCCATCATCACTAGGAAGAATGGTCAAACAACGAATGGATGCAACCAAGCTTTGTAATGTTCCAAAAACTGTCAAATCTATTTGAGTATTCCAATTTAACATCTCTCTTCCTTGATAAAGATTCTTGATAGCATCTGTAGCATGGGTAATAAATGGAGACTCTTCAGAATTGTAAGGAATGGTGTTTTCATAGTTTGTTCTTTCTCTGAAAGGGCGTCTAGTCTTGGTACCTGTTGAGGTTGGTCTGGAGGCACGAAGTTCTTCCATATAATGTTTGTCCTTTTCGTGGAGTTTTCTTTCGTGTTGTGTGATTGGGGTAACAGCAGACAAAATCAATCTAAAATGCTTAACAGCATTCACGCACTTGGCTGTTGCTACAAGAGATGATTGGACAAGGTAAGGTAAATTTGGTAAAATGTGAGATCTGGCAAGTGCATTCACTAGCATACCAATGAGTTCAACTTCTTCAATAAGAGCAAAAGTCAAAGGTCTCTTATCCCATAATTCATCCAAACCTAAAACTAATCTCTTTCTGTGAGTATTACAAAAATCTTGAACTTGTTGAACAAAATATTGATATTGACCATAGTTTGTATCTTCATCCATCATGGCCATATTTCTCTTAGGTTGAGTTGCAACATAGTAACAATTCAAGAGAGTAGTGATAATCTTCAAGCTATATCTCCAAGCAGTATGCCAGTAAGTTCTTTCTCCTTCAAAGTAGGTCTGACCTGCATATTTTCCACATCCAGAACTTAAAAATGTACAACCAGAAAACTTTTGTAAGATATTGTTGGCAACCATCATTGAACTTCCAGCTCGAGTAGTGGAGAAAGCCAAAAGTAAATTGAGAACGTTAATGGTGTGTTTAGAATGTTGTTCGTCAACTCCATCAAAAGTGGTCAAACATTCACATAGTTCTCTGCAAATATAGTTTCCATATTCTTCATTGATAGTAACTTTGATACAAACAGCCAAAATCGAAATAGCCAATTCTGTGCATTGCTCGTATCTGTTAAATGTCTTCAAGATTTGGAAAAGTATTGGAGTGAGTTTGGAACATGTTCTGACACCAATAGCTTCATCCAAATCAACAAAGTACATCAAGAGACAACCCAAAATTTCTTTTGTTGCATTAGACTTCTTTCTTTGAACTTGTGTATGTAATAAATGTGTCAACTTTGATAAATGGTCAGAAAGCCAACTGCTGTGCTTTTCAATCAAATCTGTTGGAGGGAAATTGGCGTTGAATTTGTGGATTAGCTTGGCTAGCATTGCAGCAACTTCAATGTGGAAGGTATTCAATAGGTTATCCAAAAGTTTTGGCAATGGAACATAAACTTCAAGATCGAGACCGAATTCATTGGTTGGGTTGAAAACATATTTGGTCATAGCATCACCTTCTGAAATCTTGAGTCCTACAACTAGAATATCAATAATATTCAAAAAGTATTCTTCAGATGATTCCTCTCTTGTGAGAAGAGGAGATTCCAAGCTCACAGAAAACAAGGCATGCAAGGATTTAAGCAGAGCAATAAATGCTTCCTCTACGGCAATTTTTTGATTTAGCAATGATAGAGAGTCGAGTAACTCGGCACTAATACCAGTTTCCCATCTCACAATTCTATCTGTATCATACAGAACATCCTTCTTGGTATTTCTTTCAAGGAGATAGTCCGAGAAGAAAATTTCTCTTCCCAATTGTTGTGAATCTCTCTTTGAAAGTCTATCAATATCTTGAATAAGACCAGACAAGTAGTTAATATTGTTCATAATGAATGAAATTGAAGTCTTGAGTATAGTTTGAATTGTTTTAGAGTCCTTTTCAAAGAGAGTCTTTTCAATATCAGTTTCCATACTATGGTCTTGTTTCAATATTCTGAGATTGTACATATCGACAGAGCAAATAGCAATAACTGAAGTAATAGATCTAAGGATATCAATATTCTTACTAGTGGATTCATCTTTGGTAAAGATGGTAAACATATTCTTCATTGATTTCCAGAAATAGCTGTCATTTCTTAAAATCTTTGTAATTTTGGATCTATTCTCTCCATTTTGGAAAATAGATTGAATGACAGCCAAAGCACTTCTTACTAGACTTGTTCTCTTTTCTACAATATAATTTTCAGTATTTTCTATAATCTTTAAAATTGTAACAAGAACACCTCCAGGGGCGAGCTCTTCATCGTTCTTCTCCTTCTTGATTTTAATCTTTGCTGGTGTTGAGGTCAAGAACAAGTCAGCCAAACCTCTTTGAATTTCTACTGTTGTTGAAATTAAATCAAGAAGTGCAATTTTCAATTCATCACTTTCACCAACACTCTGAAGTCTGTACAAGCAACGCCCAACTAGAGAGCTAGATTGGTTACCCAAATAACCAACAAGGGATGGAGGTCTGGAATTGTAGTCTTCAGTGAGTTGAGCAATCAAGGTAATAATCTTACATGCTAAAATTCTAATTTCTGGCGCATTAGGATGATCAATAAATTCAAAAATAGAAGTAATGAGTGGCACTTGTTGTTTTCCTAGTAACTTTGAGAAAAGTACATCCTCAAATGTTGAAATATTTGTTGCTTTGGCAATTTGTCTGAATCTCAAGATTGAATCCAACAACTTGAGAGATTCAACAATAAGACTTTGAACTGTTGCTGCTTCATCTGTCTTTTCATGACGAAGGATATTCTCAAGAAAAGTACCACCCAAGCCAATCAATGAGAACAAAACTTGATACAAACTACCATCGTGAAGGAAGGCATTCAAAAGTGGTCTACCACCACATCCTACAAGAGATTGAGAAGACTTTCTTTCAGCCCACAATGAATCTTGAGCAATTTGGTTGAAAATTTGAAGACACTTAAGAGCAATCAACCATCTTTCTTCCAATTTTTGATATCTCCATGAATCATGAACAGAAAATATGTTGCTGCAAATAAAAGGTTGAATTTCTATGACAGAATCCATTGGTCCTGGATGATTTTTGGCCAATGACAACACTGTGTCCAGTAAGCTTAGGGTTGCACCATATCTACCAATCATACATTCTTCTCTCAAAATATTTGAAAAATGATACTTTTGAATCAAAAGAGAAACTTGGCATGCTGTATCCACAGGAGATACTTCAGAAAGAGCATGCAAACATTTAGAACATGATAATACTATTTCCATAGGAATGCTTGAAAGTGGGAAATCAGAGAAATACTTCAATAAGTGTGAAAGAAGTTGTACAATTCCTCTCTTCTCGTCTCTGGATGAATAAATTTGCTTACTTAAAAGCAATTCAATCAAGTATTTTTCTAATTTTTCAATGTTAAGCATTTTGAAACTAATGACTCTATAGAGTAAATTCAAAAAATAGTGCATTGTCGAACGAACATGTGGATTATTGATAGAAACAGAATTTTGCAACACTTCAATAATTTGACTAAACATGAGTTTCCAAATATAGCTTGAAAAGTTGAAAGTTACAAGGCAGGTTTCTGCAGTTTGATTAACAACTATGCATTGTACATTTGGTGGAATCACTACATTAGTAGTCTCGTCTCTAACTGATGTTATCGTAACTAAAGGTGTTTGTTTTGTTTCCCATTCATTTGAATTTGATTGGTCCAGTCCGCATATTCTCTTAAGCTCTGTGTGGGTCATCTCAATACAGTATGTGTCTTGTGACTCCATAATAGATCTCACGCTCACTGTACTTTGATTATCACAACACATTAAAGATAATAATCTAAGAATTTCTTTCCTAGCAGGAAATACTAATTTGAAATATGTCAACAGCTCGCTATATGGCTTCTGTAACATTTGATCGTTAAAAATCATGGATAATTTTTGATCCTCGATACAGTATGGTTTTGGTTGTATAACTATTTCAGTTACAGAAAAAACTTGCTCCAAAATTTGATATGGAATTTTGTGGAATCTAAATAAAAAGTAGATGCATGAAACTCCTCCTGAAACCACTGTTCTATAACCCTCAATATTATTATTATTTACCACAAATGGATTATCATCTCTGTCAAACATTTTTCTAATAAATTCCAATCCATTTTCTTTAATACCTTTTTGAGCCAGATCATAAATTACTTGTGGTGAAACATTATTTTGGGTAAGATGAAGGAAAGCTGCCCAAAATATTCTGATGGCTGCCGTGTGAGGTTCATCAATAAGTGTCTTGAGGTTGTCATTTATCATAGCAATTTCTCTTTCTTTGAAGGAAGAGTATGTTCCACCTTGATTTGTTTTTTCAAGAGCGTTTTCAAATCCAAGAATTTCCACAAAGAGCAGTACAGACAAACATACTATTCTCCTTATTGTTTGAAATCCTTTAATAGAAACATTTCCAATACTTCTATTAATATTTCCGAAATCGTTTGCCTTTAGAACAAGTGTGAGTAATATATTTAAGTTTCAGTATACTTACATGATAATGTTGAGAAATTAAATTTAAAAATGTTTTGAAATCGCATTGTCTTCCATAATAGAGCATGAACAAGACATTTAGTATAGAAGCTTGTTCATTCAATTTTTGTTCGGTAAGCTCTACCTTTCTTCTGGTGGCTTCAGTCTCGGTTAATGATGACTCATTAATACTCTTCAAATGTGTGTTAATATCACAGGCATCAAAAAATAGGGTGTGCATAGTTTGTTCAAGGTTATTATTGAAAAGCCAAGTTGCAATATCGTGGCAAACTTTTGTCCTTTCATCACAATTATCGTCTTCCGAATATTCAGTATCAATCCTAAGAATTGTTGAAATACACTCTAGTAATAAAATTCTTTCCGAATAATAAAAATTAATAATCTAAATATTTAGATAATAATCCATTAATATTATTAATTAAGTTATTATTATAATTATTATAATAATCAAGAATGTGAACATACTTTTTGAATGGATTGTGAGTCTGATGTGAGAGCATCAGGAGCTTCACAAACAACATAATCTTCCAACAATCTGTAACAGCTATCTTCGTTTAATTTCTACAAGAATGATAATCAATAAATTTTGATATCTCCAAAACATACCGTTCTCTTCACCAATTCAGAAACAATATCCTTTTGTTTGATATCCTTTTCTTCAGGTTTTCTATTTTCAAAACTTTTCCATACATCCTTTAATGAATTCTTTACACTTTCCAAAACTTGAGCCTATTTAATAGTAAACAATTCATATTAAAAATCATCATGATGATTAATCCACACATACCCACGGAAAATTATCTACAGGAGAAGTCAAAACTCCATACAATAAAGAAAATGATCTTTTATAATAATCACAAAGCTCCTCAGTATTTGATTTTGTTGAAGAAGCCTTGCCACTACTATTTTTCGGCAGCGATGATGATGTTCTAATCATATTGTTATTGGTGCTGCTTTAATTTTTTAAAAAAAATTTAAATTATTAAAATTAATTTTTATGAATTCTTCAAGAATACTTTGAAGCCAAACACAAGCTTACCAAGTGTGATCATCAGATAATTCTGTGATTGAGAATTGCTGAATTATAAAACAACTTTTGCTTTAGAACCTTATTTATTAATTTCAATCTCGAAATCACTTTTCAGCAGCGCATATACGTATTGTTCACAACAACCACACACATCTCACCATTAATTGCAAGGCCATATGAAAACAACCAATCGGATCCAATTCCAACAACCCTTTCATCCGAATCTTTAATGATCAGACAGAAAAAAACTACATTCTTTGTGAGAAGAGATCTTTTTGATCTTTTACCCTTCTATTCTCTCATTCTACTATTACACAGCAACAATATTCACAACATCTGAATCACACACAGAACAATATTCAATATCAGCACGAATCACTGCCAGGAACAGAAAATCCACTTTCCACCCTCGTCCTTTTCAAACTCTTCGAGAAGTAATAAAAGCGACGACGAAACTAAAAGAAAATGTCCCAAACCTCATCACCATCATCAGGTGAAGAGAATAATGCTTCTTCCGAAGTTGTGCAACAAGGTCAACTAACAACACCTGTCAGAGTGAGAAGATTTGCTACAATCATTTCGAATACTTCACCAATGGCTGGACGATTCCAAAAATCCTCTTCCAATAATTCTTCACCACCAGATTCTAATACTGCCAACAATAATAATAATAATAACAACAACAATACGAATAATGGTAAACAAGATCAACAATCTCCTAGAGTTGAAAATAGTGTTTCCTCTTCACCAGTCACAATAACATCACAAAACAATGTACAGAAAGTTACTTGGTTGAGTGAACTCGCACAGGAGGATCAATTACTAATTCCATCAGCAGAATTCAAGTGTTTCAAATTGTCTTGTCCATTCATTGTTGTTGGGACATCGAAAATGAAATATCAAATAACAATGACTGTCAGAAATGGAAAATGTTCACTTTCATCACATAGAAGATATTCAGAAGTATTGAAATTTCATCAAAGATTGGCAAAAGTCATGAAAATGACAAAGGAATTAACGAATTTATTTCCTGCAAAGGTTGCATTCATCATTAAAAATCCAGAGAAGAGAAGAAAATTAGGATTTGAAAAGTATTTTGATTTATTAGTAATGGAAATCATGACACAATTGGAATCTTCACTCTCCAAAGATTGGATCCATCAAGTAGTTAGTATTATTCTCGAAGATTTGTTTGATATTCAATTTGTTGAGGATGTTATCAATGCAATGAGAAGAAATGGTGAAAAATCTAATGGTTTCAATAATTTAATTGAGGATGTTGCAAGTTCAATCAATTTATCCATTTCCCTCAAGCAAATGCACAAATCATGCATTTCATCTTCATTAAGTGAGCATGCATTATTGGCCAATGTGTTATTGTCCGAAAGTGCGACGAAAATTACAACCATTTCAGAGTTGCTATTATTCGAAAGTACACAACCTAAATATCTAACAACTCTATTCTCCTCAGATTATAAGAAAAGAGATGAATATGGTGGATCGTATAGATTAAGTGAAGTTGATTCCATAGTTGATAGAGATGCACAGAATACTGAGTATCAAATTCTCAAATTGAATTTGAATAGATTTGGGGACAGACAATCTTTGGATTCCATTCTCCAGTCAATATGTTCTGCCATTGATGTCCATGTCAAGACAAAGAACACAATGCTACGAAGGGAAATTGAAAATCTCTCAAGAATTGATCCAGCCATCAAGCAACTCAATGAAAAGGGAGAAAAGATAAGAAGTGAATTTTTGGAAGAAATATTCAAAGACATTTACTCAACAAACACAGTATCGGATAATTATCCAACATATGAATCTGAAATTCAGTTCATTAAGAAGACATTGGACTCACTCGCATCAGTTTCTAAACAAAATAAGGAATTGGAAATGAAATCTTCCATTCTCTTCACTCAACTTCTAAAAGCCATTCAATCTCATGACAAGCAATTAATTCAGAAAACTGTTGAGCAAATCACTCTCAAATCTCAAGCTATTGCAGATGTTAATGAAAAATTGGTTGAAATTGTTAAATCTTGGCTGGCCTATATGGACATTCACATCTCAAAGAAGAATACGGAAAAGGATGAGGTACACAAGGACTTTATTCTCCTATTCTTAATTCCAATGATTTATAGCGTGATTAGTAACAAGTTAGGATTCTCTCCAAGTGTAATGAATCTCTTCTTTGGTTTAAGATCTTCATCTGTTACAACAGAATTTGAATTGTTGAGCGAGAAAGATTTGTATATTGCTCCAGGTCCTTCACATGACCCAACAAGCTCACCAATTTCATCCTCATCAAGTAATGGTGAAAAATCCTCTGCAAATAATTCCAATAACTCGACACCAACCACACCTAAGAAATCTTCCAAGAAACAAAATGTTTTCGATGAGCAAGTCCTTCCAAAGAATTTGTATGGCACCAATGCTATTCATGCATTACGTATTTTGACCCTTTTAACTGATTCTCAATATTCATCATATAGTTATCGATTTGTATTTGTGAAAAAGTTGTGGATTATGCTATTTGAGGAAATTTCAAAGGAAATTGACGATTGGCAGAATGTACATTATGTCTTACACGAGGAGGAACGTAAATTATCCAGAATTTTCATCAACTTTGCCGATGACTCAATTATTGATGACTTTTTCGATATCCAAGAATTGACAACAGAAAAACTTAACAAGACTGCTCGAAATTTGAAAAATTCTTCTGAATGTTACAATACAGAAAGTTTAATAAC